TCATAATCGAAATTGATTTTAAGAGAGTTGCTATATTATTGATAACGATCACTTTTGAATAATTTATACTTCATGATGGTCAACGATCTTTTCATAACAATAAATCAATATTTAACATCGGATAAAACAACTCAAAAAGAAACTCATTACTTATATCGAAGCATTTTGAATATTTCATACACATAGTTCCCTTTATCATTTTGAAAAGAGCAAGAACAAAGATTCTAGCAGAATAGCATGAATTCATTTTATTTCGTAGATTCTCGTCAGCTGCTCACAACCTGTGATATTTAAAAATCATAATTACATTATGAGTTTAAATTACTAACTGAATATTGTAAATATATATCTAATGTGAAAGAATATTCTACAAGATTAATTGTGGGAACAGTTCAAAAGTGGGTTAGAAACAATTGATTACATAATGAATAAACATTGATAGGAATACAGTGAGTGGAGTTCAGTTGAAAGATTATTAATTTGACAGATAGTTGAAAAAATAAAATAAAATCCATGATGTAATAAATAAAAAAGATATGGCCGAACTGAAAGGAGAGCATATTTTAGATTTTTTGAACATGTTACGAAAAGTCTTAGAACAAGGGAAAGAAAGACTCTGAATAGTGCAATCACCAAACATCTCCTTGATAGAGGACATCAGGTAGATACCTTTAGGGTGATTAGTAAGCAGCCAAACTCCAGTCTTCTGAAGTTTGCTGAAGCCATTGCCATCAGGCGTCAAAAACCTGACCTATGTATTCAAAAGGAGACGGTGGTTAATCTTTCCTTACCCTGGTGACAAATATTCCTTCACTGCACCATAAAATTTTTTTCTTTTTTCTTTTGCATTTATCACATCATTGACTCTATTTTATTTTTTCAACTATCTGTCAAATTAATAATCTTTCAACTGAACTCTACTCACTGTATTCCTATCAATGTTTATTCATTATGTAATCAATTGTTTCTAACCCACTTTTGAAATGTTGTCATAATTAATGTTGTAGAATATTCTTTCACATAAGGTATATATTTACAATATTCAGTAAGCAATTTAAACCCATTATGTAATTATGATTTTTAAATATCACAGGTTGTGAGCAGCTGACGAGAATCTACGAAATAAAATGAATTCATGCTATTCTGCTAGAATCTTTGTTCTTGCGCATTTTGAATAGTTTAAATTTTTGCCATCAATTTTTTTTAAAATATTTTAGCTTTTCAATCCTCATAATATCAGTCAGTCGGCTACAGTGTTGGACCAGGCACATCTATACATGAAAACCTTATAATATAACACATAAATTATTAAATTAAATAGAAACATTCTCATCAACTGTATCAAAGATCCTTTAAGAAAGAAAAACATTAAAGACAAATATCCACCATTTATAAAGAAAAAAACACACATCATTTGCGTAACTAATTTTTACTAGACTACTTATATTGATTAATATCAGAAGGGGTTTGTGGAGATTTTAGAAATTTCACAGATTGAAATCATGAGTCAATTGAAGCTAGATCACCATGAAAAACCTGGAAACACTGGACGGCCGTTTCGTCCCTAGTATGGGACTCCTCAGTAATGTGCATGATTTCAATCTGTGAAAATTCTCAAATCTCCAGAAACCCCTTCTGATAATAATCATCTGCTCACTAGTAACTGACTCCAAGAGATACTCTTGGAGTTCTAGTGAGAAGCCGTTACCAGTGGAGTTCAACCAGGTCTGTTGAGAGATAGTAACTCACTGAAGACAATGGTGTACGGTGGCGCAACTTCGTGGATTGGTTAAAGTTAGACATTAACACCATTGGATGCCGGCCGGCTCAGTGGTCTAGTTGGTTAAGCGCCTGGCGCGAGACTGATAGGTCTTGGGTTGGAATCTCCTAGGGTGCGGGATCGTGGATGCGCATTGCTGAGGAGTCCCATACTAGGATGAAACGGCCGTCCAGTGTTTCCAGGTTTTCCCTGGTGGTCTAGCTTCAATTGACTCATGAGTTCAATCTGTTATATTGATTAATTATTATCTCAGTTACCATGTATATATATATATATATAAACATCATTAGTTTATGGTATTTATTGAATAGTGAATTCATTTCACAAACACTTATATTATTAACCATAAATCAGTCTAATTTTGCCAAAACAGATATAAATACACATAAAAACTGAGAAGTTTTGATAAATTTTCATAGAATGTTTTCGTTACTTTAACTCCAGTTCTAATAATAATAATAATAATAATAATAATAATAATAATTATTATTATTATTATTATTATTATTATTATTATTATCAGAACTATTACCATCGAAAGTTAATTATAACTTCCGGTAATTAAACAATGAATATTTTTTTTTATAAAAAAAATATACATTTTAAGTTGGCAACTATCAATAATGAGTATTGAGATACTGATGTTATGAATAGCAGAATTTCTGAATTCATATATATAAGTTAAATACACAACTGATTTATTGTGAGCTAAATACACAGTTATTCAACATAGATTATATGGACTATTCACATTCTATTCATCAATATTCATCATTCATTGAATCATATTCAAAAGAACTATTGAAATTGTATACCATAGTAGACGACTTACATTAAACAGTATTCTTAAATATCATTGGATGTAATAGAATTAAATCTAGTCTCAAATAGAAAATTATGATTCAGAGAAGTACATCAATTATTCTATTGAATTTCATTATATTCTTTAATATTTTCACAAATATTATTATTATTCATATAAAAGCTGAACAAAATGCTACAATATGGTGTCAACAATATCTTCAATCATCACATAGATCTATAGATAAAGCATTTGATATTACACATTTAATTTTACATTTAAATAAAGATTTAAATGCAGTAAGTAATTGTTGCTACTTACTTCATCTTATTTGTTGTTGTTGTTGTTGTTGAAATATTTCATGATTGAATTTATGAGCTATCATGAAAAACTTGGAAGAACTAGATGGTCGTTTCATCTTGATATGGGACTTCTCAGCAGTGTGCATCCAAAATCCTGCATCGAGAGATTTGAATCAACGACTTGTCAGTCTCCCGCTTGAACGCTTAACAACTAGATCACTAAGTCGGCATTCAATAGTGTTGATATCTAACTTCAACCAATCCATGAAATTGCGTCACCGTCCATCATTGTCTTCAGTGAATTACTATCTCACAATAGAACCGGTTGAACTCCACTGCTCACAGCTTTTCACTAGAACTTCAGGAAATAACTCTTGGAGGCCGTCACTAGTAAGCATATGATGATTATAATCAGAGAGGGGTTTTTTGGAGATTGTAATAATTTAATAATTGGATTCATGAATCAATTAAAATAGATCACCATGGAAAACCATACTAGGATGAAACGGCCGTCTAATGCTTCTAGGTTTTCCATGGTGGTCTAGCTTCAATTGACCAATTAATTCAATTATTAAATTACTACAATCTCCACAAAACCTCTCTCTGATTTCGTAATTCAATTGAAAAGTACGTTATGTTTACAGTCTTATGTAATCCAGTTTAATCACTATGTCTTCTTATGAGTTTCATTAGCATTTTATGGTGATGAAGGCATGATGTTCTACACGGCAAAGGGTGCTTTTATTAACATTTATATACCTACATACTTACGCCTGTTACTCTTAGTGGAGCATCGACCACCGACCAGCATACTCCAACCCAATCTGTCCTGGAACATTTCTATAATACTATTGTAAATGGAATATTTAAAACTCATTAGGATGGTATTTTACCTGTAATCACATTTTTTTATTTATTAAGTTTTTGATTGTGATCACGAGCTGATTTATGTTAGACCACCACTGAAAACCTTGAAACACTAGACGGCCGTTTCGTCCTACTGTGGTGCAGTGAGCATCCACGATCCTGCTCACGAGATCTTTTCTCGCATTTGTAAAACTGGAGAGCTAAATATTCAGAAACAAATATAAGTGAAGTAACTATTCCACACAGAAACACTTTTAATAACAATCAACATATGATTATCAATGATTAACTTCAATAGGTAATTCTCTAAATTTTGACAAAAAACCATAACCAACAAAGTGCAATCATGTTAAGAATGAGACGGTTACTTAGCAAATGCATTGGATAATGGTCACGCAACACCACTCATTGATTAAAGTTAGAAAAGCAAAGCAGAAGATTTCACTAATAAGCTCTCGCCTCAATGCCAAAAGTCCTTGACGTTGATATCTCCAGGGGTTTTGGTGACCCACTGATGAAGAACGTTAGACTAGAACTAAAACACTGCCTATTGCTTCCTGATACATAGCTGTGTTCTAAACAAAGATAATGATATAAAATTTGAAGAGTGAATTCCGTAATCATAATCTGCTCATTCTAATTATTTCATTTCTTGTGACAATAGTTTTTTTTACGATTATTTAAAAAATTCAAATATTCCCAGATTTCTCGCTTCCATTAAAATCGAGTCCCACATGCGGGACCGTGGATACACACTGCTGAGGAGTTTCATACTACAACGAAAGGGTATTTCAGTGCTTCCAGATGTTCAATAGTGGTCTTGTTTGAATCAACTCATGAATTCAACTATTTAAAAAAATCATTACTTCATTTCGAAAAAAAGTTGAACTGTTTTAAATCAACCTAATATGATGTAGATCAAGCGTCTATCAATACCAACAACATCACCCAAATATTCATGTGAATAAGTAAAATTAAATTGAATAATCTTCATAAACTCAATACAAAATTCACACAATTTTCTATGAGAAACAGTGAAACTACATAACTGACACTTGTATACATTGATTCTTGAGAGTTATTTATTAAGTTGTATTAGTTAGGTTGCATATTGTTATAACTTGTGACCGTCAATTAGAGAACAGTAACTTATCAATCGGATCAATGACGCGTAAAACACGTGCGAGCAGCCTAGAGTCCTGTTTGGTCCTGCTTTCCGCCTAGCCTAGCCCAGCCAGGTAAGTCCAGAACACCAATCTCAGCCTCTGCAATATGAATCATTTATCTCAAACATACGGGGTTTATATACCAATCAAACCGACCACAACGTACCATAAAACAGAAAATAACATTTGTACAATATTTGGCCAAAAGTGGCTGTGAATGAGAGAGGTAGTGATTAACAGATAGGGAATAATTCATGAATGGTAAATCGTATAATAATAGTTCATAGGTCAAAACAATACTCATAATAAGAGGGATATGAATATGAATAGTTTAGTTCATTTAACAATTATACGATAAAAATATACTCATAGTATTGGTCCATAAATGGATCCCAAAAGTTGCCAATCATTATTCTCATCGGGATGTAACATATGAAGGCAAATGTTCATGAAAGATCTTGTAAAAATCAATCGCTTGTGAATATTTACAAACATTTTTGTATTCACAGAGGATATGAACACCGACTCATATATATATACATGCTTACAATTATACGATATGATCGATGGAATCTTAGGGATGATTACACATTCTCATTGAAGACATTTAACAACTCCAGAGTAAATATGTATTTTAACTTGAGTTAACATTGTGTAATTCGTTTAATAAATGCAAAGTTTCTGTAATGTGCTTTAAGCTGCACTTTTTTTCATGAAATCTATCAGATGGACCAAACAGAATAAGAGAATAATCTCTTGAACCTGGGATCAGTTTGTTTAAAAATAGATCACTTTAACCAATAAACATATAATACTATGAAAGATTTATTCTGAGATGAATTACTTATTGGTTAACTAAGAAATAGAGATGAAAAAATTTACTGTATAGACATAATGACAAAGTCAAAAACAAAAGATTTGTAAAGATGTCTATATTTTGTAGTTCAACAGTTGGAAACTTTCTATTTCAACAAAATCTTTGGTGAGACTATAATTTATAGACGAACTAATCAGGTATAGAATAATAGGTCTCGGATTTTGGCGCGAAATTCACTTATCCATTTGACGAAATAGAGTTTTGGCATTATAACTGATGTCAGTTCGTGATGAAAACCCTAAATGTAATTCCTAAGCTTAATCATCAACTGTAAATTATAATTATAATTTCTCACACAGATTCATAACCCTCATTTAGTCATGGTTATTAAGTGGAGACTCTCAAGGTCAGTCTAGTGTCGCTCAAAGGTCGTCCATAAATTAAAGTCTCGCCAAATCTTCCAATATTTTGTCTTGTTAGAAAAAGAACTGGTTTGACAAGATGCAACGTTTTAGTATCTAATTATTACCCTATTAGTAAACAAATCATATATATATATATATATATATATATATATATATATATATATATATATATATATATATATATATATATATATATTGTTCGTATTGCTTTAAATCACCAGCTTAGTAAGTGAATTAGAATAGTGATGATTATTGGCTAAACTTAGCCCAACTCGGTGAGACTATAATTTATGGACTATTCTTAGAGCGATACCAACGTGACTTTGAGAGTGTTTACCTACTTACCAGAGCCAAATGAGAGTTGTAAAGCAGTTTGAAGAATAAAGACTATTATTCACAGTTGATGGTTAGGGTTAAGAATTAACTTGACGATTTTTCATCCCGAACTGATATCAGCTAAAATGCCAAGATGCTATTTGAAGAAATGGATGAGTGAATTTTACGCCAAAATCTAAGACCTATAATCCTAAATTTGCTTGACTCATTCATAAACTATAGTCTCTCTCCCAGCTCATTTTGATTAACATATGAGTCTAGTTACGATTTCATGCTATTATTACATGTTTACTATTACATGAAAACACTTGCAAGGTCGACGAACAACAACCTACAATGAATTGTCTTTGAATAATATGTGAATATGATCAGAAGTACTAAATGATATTCCCACTTTTAGAAATCTGGCTAGACGAGTTTTCAAGATTTTCTCAATCTGGGATTCTGATATGGATCATTTAAAGATAAAGAATTGAATAAAGAATCCTCACATTTTCTCCCAATATTTATTATAGTATTAACCGATATCTCTGTCATCTCTCACTTTAATGTAACGTAAACAACGTATACTTGTTTTTAACAATGAATACTGCTTTTTTCACATTGTGAGCATAAATACAAGTAATTGGTACTGTCTTACTAACTTAATTGTTTTTCAATGGTTAAGATCATGAGTCAGTTGAAGCTAGACTACCATGGAAAACCTGAAAGCACTGGACGGCCGTTCCGTCCTAGTATGGGACTCCGCAACAGTACGCATCCACGCATCCGTTGGGTTCCGGTGGTCTCGTGGTCTAGTGGTCTAGTGGTTAAGTGCTCGCGCGCGAAACCAGTAGGTCCTGGGTTCAAATCCCGCAGGGGGCGAGGTCGTGAATGCGCACTGCTGAGGAGTCATACATTAGGACGAAACGGCTGTCCAGTGCTTCCAGGTTTTCCATGGTGGTCTAGCTTCAACTGACTCATGATCTTAACCATTGAAATTACTACAATCTCCACAAAACCCACCTGATATTAATTATTTTTATTTGACTAAAATAAAAGGTAAAACATTGTTCAAATAAACTATCGGATACAGTTACAAGCTTCTGTAGTCAATCTAAGTAATATTTTATAGACGTATACTCATTACTTACTGACACAGACTTTTTAAAAAAAGCAATTATATGAGATGGTAGAGAAGATTTGTAGCTCAATTGGATGATTTTGACTTCTACCTGAAGTTTGTGCTGATGATATCGTTCAGAAGAACGATGAAAGCTCCATAACTAAATCTTCTAGTTCAGAGAACAAAAACCCATCAAAAAACAGTTATATAATGATTGGAATTCTAACCGATCAATGCTAAAGGTCGTTTGGTTTTTGCCAACTTACGTCACCAACTATGGCGAAGCCAATATATCCGTCTATCAATTAAGAGACAAGTATACTGCGCAGCTGTTCGTTGTGTTCTACTTTGCGGCTGTGAAACGTGGCTCAGAAATATTTCCAGCATCTGCTGGGATCACCGAATTAGTAATAGTGTGGTAAGACGCAGGGTATTAGGGAATGATGGTGGATCAGTTGATGAGGTTGTGTATCTTCATCGACTGAAATAGTTAGGCCACGTGTTACGTATGCTTGAACACCGATTACCACGACGCGCAGTGCTGACTAGTGTAGGAGACGGTCGTAAGAAATTCAGGGGCGGCCAAACCAAAACGTGGCACCAGTCCTTGTAGTCACTAACTTCTTGTCTGAGCTATGTTGATAGATGCAGACTACCTGATTGAGGTCCGCGTGACCATCATAGCCAATGGTTGGAGATTTTGAGTGACATGGCTCAGAATCGGTCACAACTGTGTAGGTATATACACAATCTATCTTCCGTTAAGCCATGAGATTAAAATCGCTTTATACATTTCATTCTACGAACTAATTCTTTCTTCCTGTACTATATCCTTATATGCAATCTTTCTATTACATATTACCACCATTGAGTTAACTGATTCTATGAATCCGGTGTTCATCTTGCTGTGCTAATTAGGTATGGCAACTTCGACCGATGCATATATGTGCATGATCCTACGTTGTAGCTGACTGAACAACTGACTGACTGAAAGCACTATACATTTCCAATTATAATATACAGATGAAAAGAAATTAATATAGAAATCTTTACTATTCAAAAAATTACAAAACTTTATAATACCATAATGCCTCATTTATTTATTTATTTTAACACATAGATATTGGTACAAGAAGGCACCAAATACATATGCGCCACACAAATCTCATTTGATACGTATGAGGGCTGTGATACTGCCTCGGTGCCCAAACCAAAGCAGGTGGTTTTCTTAGGGGGCCACACCCGGAGCCTTCGACCTGAAGGTCAGATCCACAAGGCGGTGGAGCATCGTAAGGAGATGCAGTCCCATGGTAGCCGGTGACCAACGACTGGTTAATACACCATTTGTTCCTTCAGGATACTGGAGCCCATGTGAACTATAGGTTTGAAATCAGGGTTTTTCAACTCCCCTAGGTAAACTCTCCGTATCCACCGATCCGGTTAAAGCGCCTAACATTCACTTTTCGTACTTTCAATTTCGTAAACAACACCCGTGGTACGAGAAGGGAGTGAATAGGACTTCCCTGGCAGAGGCTATATACGCGTGGCCATATGAGAGAATTTGGAGAGGGAGAGCTGCCTCTCCCCACTCTCCGCCGTGCCAGGGTATTTGAGGGCAATCCCTCATTTATTAATATTATATTATTTTTCTAAATTACTTATGAATGAAATTAACTTTTCCTATAAGTGATTATCATATACCTAAACTAATTTACATTCTTCACTACCACCTAAACTATCATTCATCAACATGTACAAGCTTATATAATTGATTTCAAATTGCTGAATATCATCAATGTAATATAATCGAATGTAATATATTACAACGAATACATTTAGTTACAGATCAACAACTCTAACTTGTATAGATATATCCATATCCCTATCCATTTATTAGTTATAATAGATTTATTGTTTATCATTCTTTGATATTATTATAGTTTAATATACATAGTACAAATCAATAGGCATGATAGAGGAGCTTTATTTGATTAATTGTATTTAATGTTTTATTTTCAATATAAATAGTTAGTTTCCATTATGCCAATCATGAAACAGTGAACGAACTGTAAGTTATACACATATATATATATAGATAGATAGATGGATGGATACAACTGAAATATTGTATATGTCGTTCATGAATTCATAGTACACGATCAAACCATAAGTATACTATTGTAAATATTCAATAATGGATAACTTAAATTGTTTTAATATCGAAATTATTGATTTTCATATACAAGGATTATATCTAATCATCAAGGGTTTTGATTAGTATACAAACATGGAAATTTATCTATTTTGATGATTGAACAAGTAAGAATACTTTTTCTTTAAAATTATATTAAAACTAAACTTACTTACGCCTGTTACCTCGAATGGAGAATAGGCCGCCGACCAACATTCTCTAACCCACTCTGTCCTGGGCCTTCGTTTCTAGTTTTATCCAATTGTTGCTCAGTGTTCTTATGTCTGTCTCCAATTGTTGGAGTAATGTGTTCTTTGGTCTTCTTCTTTTCCTTTGACCTTGAGGATTCCGCCTGAAGCCCTTCTGAGGCTAGTGCTGGTCCCAAGCCTGGAGAAAGAAGGAGGGTTGGGTATGGGGTTAGCGATTCCATCCCGTAAAAAACTAGCTAGCTAAAAAAGACGCCAACCAGAAAAAATCAATTCAAATCGTTTAAACTCTGCTCTGGAAGTTAGTAGCCCTTTATTTAGAAGAGCTATGGTGCTTCATAGTGAAAGTTGAGTTCTTTCGGAAGTCATGAGACCGATTCCCTTTCTAACAGTTAGAGCAACCATTAATTTGGGTACATATTAAAACTGTGAATATTTTTTTATTCTACTTTGAAATTGTTTGGAATTTTAAGGATATGATTCAAGTGTGTAATAAATTCAAACTATTTAAGCTCAATGGTATATCTACTTAAATTAGATTTATTGTATTCATACTGTATTATGTAACCCCTTATATAATATAGGCAGTACCTCATTCTTCATCATGTTATCTCTACATGTAATTAACTTACGATTTGTATTCACTGTTTCCTTACTTAAAATAGTTTTCCAGTTTCTATAACCAAATAAAATGGCATTCAAATGGTCCAACATTTACACATACTTACTTACTTACACCTGTTACTCCCAATGGAGCATAGACCGCCGATAAGCATTCTCCAACCCACTCGATCATGGGCCTTCTTTTCTAGTTCTATCCAATTGTTTTTCATTTTTCTCATGTCTATCTCCATTTCCCGGCGTAATGTGCACTTTGGTATTCCTCTTTTCCTTTGGCCTTGAGGATTCCATGTGAGGTCTTGTCTTGTGATGCAGTTAGGTGCTTTCCTCAATGTGTGTCCTATCCATTTCCAGGGCTTCTTCCTGATTTCTTCCTCCACTGGGATTTGGTTTGTTCTCTCCCACAGTTGGTTGTTGCTAATAGTGTCTGGCCAACGTATCTGAAGTAGTTTGCTTAGACAATTGTTAATAAACACTTGTATCTTCTGGTTGATGGCTTTCGTAATTCTCCAGGTTTCTGCCCCATTATCTTAATCTACTCTTCCATTAATCACCGTGAGAAGTGTTCGTCGAAAGTCTTCGAGCTTACATAATATATCTCTCAATCTACAAAAAGTAAATATTTGTTGCATATTTTAGGCTTAATTTTAGCATAATGCACTTGATAATTTTAACGTAACAGAGAAAAATATTAGAAAACAGTTTCTATCTTCTCTTCTTTTTTTTCTTGTTTATTTAGACATTTTCAAATGCTCCTGAACCAGGTTGGTATGACAACATCTCAATGTATTATAATAACAAGACTGAACAAAATTTCAAATTAATGTGCATGAAATTATATGGAATAGTTACTGACTCAAAAATCAATTCACAAAGTGGGAATATGGTAAATATAATAAACAGATTAAATTCACTTGGTATTGTTTGCTTGTATCTTTCTATTGTTGTTGTTTAAGACTTCAATTGATCAGTCTCTTATTGGCATATGTACATACTGTGCGTATTGCCTCGATGTTGCCTTCATTTACAAGCATTATAAGGAAAGATGGATAGTGCCTAGCAATGTAATCCAAGATAACGTTTCTTCCTATTTGGAACTCGTCAGCTGGATGTACCTACATCTCAAAGTTGATGTGTCATTCTGGGACTAGAACCCAATACCGTTTGCTTCAAACGCTATCGTATTATCCACTTAGCTACTGAATCTTGATAGTCACTTACTTGTGTAATAGGGTGAAGTTTAATTTCACTTGGTATTGTTTACTTGAATCTTCCCATTGATGTTTGAGACTGTTATTGATCAGTCTCTTAAAAAATAACCATTATAAATATTTAATTAATAAAACTGTAAAATGGTTTAGTTATACACAGTGAAGGCAATTCACTTCACTTACGCCTGTTACTCCTAATAGAGCATAGGCCGCCAACCAGCATTCTCCAACCCACTCTGTCCTCGGCCTTCTTTTCTAGTTCCATCCAATTCTTGTTAATTTTTCTCATGTCTATTTCCATTTCTCGGCATAATGTGTTCTTTGGTCTTTCTCTTTTCCTTTGGCCTTGAGGATTCCATGTGAGGTCTTGTCTTGTGACGCAGTTGGGTGAGTGGAGGCAATTACACCTGGTTAATGATTAGATAAGCAAAACATTCACAAACATAGTAACCATTTAGAATGTTTCGTCACTATGATGTTTAACTTTTTTTGTTTTGGATATATATTTCCCTGTGAATTTAAAATTTCTCATATCAACCATTTTGAATAAATTAAATTAATAAGATTTTCTAAGTTAAAAGAACACATCTAACACCCTTAATATCGATTCCACTTTTAGCATTAACAAATCAAGATACTTTGTGAATTAATCAATTTACCGATCCAACACAAATTATCAGAATATTCTGAACACTTATTTGTATACATGACAATGAATTGTCAATTTCGACACATAACTCATACTGTCATATTATCATCCATGTATATTGGTGTACATTAATTTACGTGTTCGCGCGTGTGTGTGTGTGTGCAAAATGATTTGTTTTTCATGCAGTTATTCATATTTATATTATAATTTAATAATTGAATTCGTGAGTCAATGGAGCTAGACTACCATGGAAAACTTGGAAGCACTGGACGGCCGTCTCATCCTAGTATGGGACTCCTCAACAGTGTGCATCCACGATCTCGCCTCGCGAGATTCGAACCCAAGACCTGTCAGTCTTATATTTAGAAGCTGGCTTAATTGACAGAAGTAACTTATATCTAGTAAGCCCATATATTAAATGAAAAATAAACCTCAATTTTTCGATCAAATCTTTTAGCGTAGAGTAAACTGGCGCTTCAATGAGTTGTAATATAAGGGGATATCATACATGACTATTTAAATTCTAATATAATACAAAAGATGTCTTAATATATTGCCTCATCAGTTACTCATACTAAACACATTGATCAGGTGCTTCTACGTTGTTCTACAGAATGTCGATAGATAGATTATTTCGAACAAACTGAAAGTACTTTTCATTAAATCTTTTCTTGATCATATAACTAATACCAAGTAAAAGATGAATGTCTACATGAAAAGTATACAGACAATGTTTAAATACTAAGAACTATTCACTGCTTCTAAATATTGAATATCTAAATATGATAACCATAGTGTTGTAATTATTGGCTTGTAGGTCTCAGTCTCAAAGAACCTCATAGTTTCTTTATATAATAATAATCTTTTTTTTAAAATACAATCAGTATGTATCAAGAAGTTATCCTTGGAGTCAAACTGGAAGTCTACATATACAGATATCAGGTTTCATTAATTTGTTTATACAAAAGTTTACAAGAAATGAATTTGCATCCAAGTAACGAAAAGAGTTCCTAATGAGTTTTTTTTTCTGTATTATTTTCAGATACTGAACGCTTATAGTTTTTGGAATATTCGACCAAAAGGTTAGCTAATTGATTTTGCATAATTTCTGTATTCATGAATCGATTAAAACTAAACCACCATGGGAAACCTAGAAGCACTGGACGGCCATCTCGTCCTCATCAGCGCTCATACACGATCCCATACTCGGGACATGAACCCAGGACCTTCGGTCTCTTACGTGAACCGCTTAACCTCTAGAGCACTGAGCTGATACGTATCCAACGGTGTCAATGTCTAACTTCAACAATCTCAACAAACTACCCATTCTGATAGTTACGGTATGATAATTTATAAAGTGTTCCTTTAACTTGATCGATATCACTAAATGTCATGTACAGTAGTCACAAATACTTTTATCAAAATATACTGATCGATTCAATTCAAAATTGAATAAGAATGAACAGATAATAGCTCTTAAAAGTAACATTTTTCAAATATCATATATCTATCATGAATCAATGGTACAATGCATAGTCCTTTAAGGTTCGAAATATTTGATTAATGCAGAAATTTTTTTAACAGTGTCGTGAAGCAAACTGGCATACTCAACAGTATAACCAATAAGTTCTATAAATGTTTAGAAAATGCACTATAGTGGTGAGAAACTGATCAAACTGATCCTAATTTCTAGTATTTCAAATCAGCTTACTTGGTGTTGTTTACTTGTATATTCCCATTGTTATTTTGGACTGCAATTGATCGGTCTCTTATAGGCATATGTGCATCCTGTGCCTTAAGTCACAAGCTTTACAAGTAAAGATGGATAGTGGCTGAGTGAATAACGCAATGAGATTTGACATGAACGGTACTAGGTTCGAGTCCCAGAGTGAACATCAACTCAAAAATGCAGGTACATCCATATGACGAGTCCCAAACAGGAAGAAACGCATGTTCTGGATATCACTGTTAACCACTATCCATCTTTTTTTCCAATCGGCTGTTTAAACTAACACATTTTTAAAACAAATAGTCTTTGTAAACCTAACTTAGCAGATTTGTAATCGTATGAAAAACATCAGTTATTCACTAAATATCCATGATTATTTATTCATTCAACTGCAATTTATCATCAAACGACTCAAGTCTAAGTAATAGGAACATTGATCTAACTACCAACTTCTCATTGGATACTAAGACTTAAAAGACCTAATGCCTTATGATTAAATATTGTTTATTATTTGTTAAATCAGTATGATAAGACTCGACCTTCTTTTTTAAATATTTTTAGTTTGGATTGCTTCATTAATTTCAATTTTTGTCATAAGTGCAGTTGGACTATTAGGAGTTGGTGTAGTACCATTAGTTCAAAAAGTATTTTTCAATCAAGTTATTCAATACTTGGTTGCATTAGCTGTTGGAACTTTAACCGGTGATGCAATGCTACATTTACTTCCTCATGTAAGTCTACATCAAAGCATAATTCAAATAATTAATATTGTCATACTATAAAATTATACTTACTTACTTACTTACTTACTTACGCCTGTTACTCCTAATGGAGCATAGGCCACCGACCAGCATTCTACAACCCACTCTGTCCTGGGCCTACTATAAAATTATACTGAATAAAAATTGTAAACGATCGCTAAATTGTTTTCTTACAATTTAATTGAAAATAATAATATCATAGCATTCAAATGTGTGCTTTATCTTCAAATCTATCAGCAGTTTAGATTAATATGCGAAAGGGTTTTTGTAAATATTATAATAATTTCAATGGTTGGGATCATGAGCCAACTAAAGCTAGACCATCATGGAAATCCCGGAAGCCCTTGACGGCCGTTTCGTTCTATTTTGGAACCTCTCAATTTCGTGGATTAGTTGAAGTTCGACATTAACACTATTGGATGCCAACTCAATGGTCTAGAGGTTAAGCGTTTGCGCTCGAGACCGATAGGTCCTGGGTTCGAATCTGGCGAAATGAGATCGTGGATGCGCTCTACTGATGTGTCCTAAAATAGGGCCAAACGCCCATTCAGTGCTGCTAGGTTTTCCATGGTGGTCTAGCTTCAATTGGCTCATGACCTCAACTATTGAAATTTTAGATTAAGATTCAATTTCGTCGGAAGTGTTACTTTCAAATCTCAGTAATGGATAAGGGTTAATCATGACATTTGCTACATAGCATATTTCATTACAACGTTCAGTTTGAAACGTAAGTTCAGTTACGTTTGTTGAAAAGAATATCAGTGAATTGCTAATTGTCATTTTTGCTAGGGATTTTAGTTCGAAAAAATGTTTTATTTAACAGAGAATTACATTAAAACAATATTGTCTTATTTATGAGCCTAATTAAAGTTAGCATGTTTCCATGCAAATTGTACTAACATTCAGCTATAGTATGACAAATTAAAACCCCTGTTGAAGTATTTTCTGATCGAGTATCACTATTTCAACTATTTCTGACTGTGGACTATAATAAGGTAAACAAGGCAATAAGAATGAGGAATAGTATTGAGGTTTGGATGGTAGTTGGAGGTGGTCAACAGGAAACCCTGGACACGGGTTTCGTGCTACATGGCACTCGTCAGCAAGGTGTATCTGTAATCTTGAGGGAACTGGTGCTCCCTGGCGGATTCGATCTCGTGTCACCCAGCTTCACAGTCAGAGTCACCTAAACTGGTGGCTACATTGCAACATAATCGATAGCATTCGATCTGCACTAAATAAGGACTTGACACACATGACATTGATCACCACCCAGTGATCAATCAGTTGTGAGTATTTAAGTTTGCTATACTTCATGCATTATCTCTGAAATAGTTTAGACATCGACTACTTTCTTCAAGAGATTCCAAGTTAATTGTCAATAATCGAGCTTCAACTTTTAGATTTGTTTCAGTCGAAATATATATATATATAATATTTAATCATCCAGCCATACGCAAAATTGAACCTGGAACTTTTTTACATCGGTTCAGGTTACCACATCACATCAATACAGCGAAATGCCAGGGAAGTAGAAGTAATAACAGTATAAATGATAGTAATATCAAAGAGGAAATGTGAATGATTTGAGAAGAAAATATGGAATCGTCGAATAAAATATGTTAAAGATCATTTCAAAACTCAAGATCTGAAGGAAAGAATTCGCTTTTCATCTTCTTTTTTTGAGATAGTGGAGACGATTTGTAGCTCAGGTGGATGGTTTTGATAGAGTTTTGTTCTCTGAGGTGGATGGTTTGATCGTGGAGCCTTCACCGTTCATCTGAACGACATCATCAGCACAAACGTCAGGTAGACGTTTATGCTTAAAGCTCTACGACCAAACCATCCAGCTCAGTAAACCAAACTCTATCAAAATCATCCACCTGAGCTACAAATCGTCTCCACCACCTCAAAAAAAGAAGATGAAGCTCTATTACTATCAATAATACTATCATTAGAATTGTTTGAACACCTTACTTGGAAAGAATTGGAATACATCAAAATAGGCTGTATTATTTACATCGGAGTTCAGCATTTTACATAAAGTTAGGGATGAAAACAAAGATTTAAACCATTTACTTAGTTACATAGGTTACTTTCGGAATTATACACTTAAAACATTTGTAAATTTTATCCATAAAGCTACTTAGCCAAAGGTATTGAAAATCAACTGCCAATCAAATGTAAAGGAATATTATAGGAATAAATATATTCGACCTTTGTTTTTATATCTTTGTCTAGCGGTTAGTGTTTCCAAGTCTTTTCATGTGTTGTATCAATTTCCTGGGTGTTTTTCTAAAATAAACGAACTATGTTGTGACGAGTAACAGTTGGGATCAATTATATGTTAAATGTACAAATTATCCTATATGAAACCACTCACGTCTTTGATTAACAGTTTACAAAGTCAAACCCATCAGGTAGTTAAAACATTTAGTCTCGATTTGACGAAATAATTTATTGATTTTTTCTTATTCAGGCTATAAGCAGTGGTCAAGATCATGATCATGGAGGTGAACTGACATCATCTAAGGAAGAAAATGGTGAACGTATAGCAATTATGAAAGGTTTTGTAGCTTTGGGTGGTGTATATTTCTTTTTCATGGCAGAGAAAATATTAAGTTTAACTTCTGAATATCGAGCTGAAAAAAAGCTTGAAAAAGTGAGTTTTCTATCAAATTTCCATTTATATATTATGATTGTAGATTTTTTAAATGTATCAGGTTTTTCTAAACAAGTAATACGATAGACATTACGAAAACACTGGCTTTTTAAGGCATCACACTTATTATTTGCAGTTTTAGACAAAAACGTTTTTGTCCTTGTAAAGGTTTTCATAACGCTCAGCAACAATACCAATTTATGGGTAAGTGCTAACAACAATAGAAAATTAATTTTCTATCAAATAGAATAAGCTATAAAGTGGTCAAAGTAGAACTCTCCTCTTCATCACCTTATATACAGATATAGAAGAGCAGTAAAACAATGTGATATGTCAGCACATAAATCAATTCATACAGATAACCAGAGAAGAGAACATAATTTTCAGAATATTGAAATTCTCTGCAGAGGAAACTTGAAGTATCATAGGATATTTCTGGAAGTATAGAACTCAGGTCAGTCAATCAGTGCTTTTATCACAATATAAACTATATTGACCAGTACATAAGAGGTCAATTGAACTGGACAGTTTACAATGAGTAAATGACAAATGAGACTGACTAAACCTAAGGAAATAGTCAGTCATATACAAGATCGTCAGAACTGCTTGATTTAGTGCCTGTGGAATAATTAAACAGTTCATTTCTAAATGAAGTATTTGAAGATAAAACCTTAAAATTAAACAGGATAACTGAAATATTCAATATTGTTGAGAGGTTACAAGAATCTAGGGTGAATAACTTGTTCATAGTGAATAATGTTTATTCTTAAAGTTTCATAAATCCTATCATTTTGTCACAAGTTTATCGATAATGTCTTAACTGATTGATCCTAAGTTCCCAGAATATCTAACTTCTATGCTAACAACTTGAAATGATTCAACTTACATTGCATAAATACTTTTTACAGTTGCAAACACATGAAAGAGTTTTTAACAAAATTACAGTACGGTTTAAAATTGTGAAATTTCAAATTTATTTTTCTTGGGATTGATAGGAAGATCGTGAAAGAGCATTACTTAATTTACCTGTAGCTCCAGTAACTCGTCGTCTAAGTTCTGTAAGACCATCTATAGCTCCAAGTGGACTTTTAGCAGTACCTGGACAAACTAGAAGACCATCACAACTTGATCCTACATCATGTAGAAGAGCATCACGTGCTATGTCTATCGCAAATGAAGATGTATTTGTTACGGGATTAAGTAGTAAAGGTAAGATTAAGCTTTCATACAAACTGATTTAACCGCTTATTTTGTTATATCTATGGTAGTGATTAAAACAGATCTTTGTGAATTGTATTTCAACTTAACATGACTTTACGTGTTAATAAATACTAACTTAACTTATGAAGACTCACCATCAGTTGTTAAAAGTAAACAGAAGATACTGGTTTCGAAATAATATAGTCAACGGGTGATCGAAATTCTTGAGCTCAAACAGTATATAAGTCAGTTAGTTACGAAGTCAACAGTGGAAAGCAAAAACATGATTTTCATCAGGCAAGCTTTATATAATGATTACAACCATAAATGGACAGTACTTCCAATATTAATACTGTTTTGTTTTTCGATTTCATAAGCATTGTATAATTGTGAAACTGTACTTAGTGTAGGCTGTGAAATATGAACTGTAACAATAACCTTTGGATATGTGTACCAACTTCGAAAGTATACAACACAAATAGAATGTGGGTACTTTGACTTATTGTTCTATTTTAATCACTAAAATGTTACTTCGAAAAGTAGATTATGGTCTGCACCATCTTTATTAGATTCACTTAGATAATGTATTTTGTAGCGAAACTGTAACATTAATGTGGATAAATTTTTTTCAGCAATGAAATCAATCGACATTCTTTACAGCTATGCAGAGGAATACGATGAGCTTACAAGAAGATCTTCACAGGATATTAGTGTAGATCAACCATTGGTAAAACATGAATTACAATTGGATCTTCCTGACGGGAAATCAAAGCAAATTAATGAAGGGGACAGCTCAAAGAAAGATATACAACAACAACAACATCAAGAAAATCTTGCAATAAATTTACCAAAAATTACAATCGCAAATGAAAATGAGACCAAGATAAAAGAATCAGAAAAACAGGTGAACCTTGTTTTATTGTCATTCTAGTTTTAGACCATTATAAGAACTAATTTTAAGTAATGAAATATGTTTATAGGAAAATTATATACTAATTAACTGTGACTGAAATTCTAAGGTACTATTCTTCATTAATTAATTTCAGTTGAGGTACCATCAAAAACCGAGAAGTATTATACAGCTGTTTAGTCCTTCTCAGTAGTGTATAACCAAGATCCTATTAGGGACCAAGCTTAGGACATTCAGTTCACTGAGTGGATGCTTAACTATTACAATCATCAACTTCATTACCCTTAAAGATACTGAACTATTACCCAATGAACCCCTTCAACTGAACTATATCACTGGAATTGTTTAATCGATCAGTTTGTGGCAAGCATAATCAACATGAAAGCAGTTTTAATTACGGATCGTACTATGATGAAGAATTGGGTAGAATGAGAGAATTCCATTATCGTTCAAAAGTAGATAAACAATAAATAGATTAGAACATAATGACTAATCGATATAAAACTTTCAGTTTTACATTAGGTAAAGTACGTCACCTATACTTTATTTTTAACTCATTTTGCTCCGTCACTATTTAGTGAGGGTTCAAATCTCTCTCTCATTTCAACAAGTTATTTATTCTAATATAGACAAACTGTTAATTGTTTTTATAATTCTCATCATTTTTAGTTACGTATCGACTTACCAGATCATCACCAGGAAGACGTAAACACATCTGATCATGGACATGGTCATAGTCATGGTCATTCGCACGAAGTAAGAAATATGTTTTTTTTTAATTTCACCTTAACCTAATATTCACGTATAATTTTTAGTTGTAATCTGTATATCCCACCAAAAAAAGAATATTAGTTGTACTAATATTTGTACTCGTCAAAGTTGATAGTCAGAATACGGCTTGCAGTTAGATGTTCACGTGTCCACCAAACTAAATAATTTTGCCTTGAATGTCCAATGTTTTGATGTTAGGTGAATAGAGGTAGACGGCGTAAATATCTCAGTCGTACGACAGGTTCATCTTGGCCATTAAAATTCGGTTATAAATTGCAAGCAGTGAAGCTATTTGATGTGGATCTGAATCCACTAGGGAGCGTTAGTTCCCACTAGAATCCAGGTGACTTGTTAACGACTATAAATCAGCACGAAACCTATGTCCAGGGTTTATTGCTGACAACCTCTAGCCAACTAACTTATCAGAAATTGTTAGAACCAAAAAGGCATCAATGAGGATTAAAATGTGAGATAAGATATTGAGTTCTCAAGATAAGTCATCCTAATTCTGAAAATTTCCAATATAATCAGTCACTTTATAACTTTCCCATATTTCACTACACAATAATGACTGGTTTCAAGTTGTACCTTTGGCAGTCCTCATGAAAAAGTATTGTTTTTCTCTCAACAACTTAATGACTTTTTCCATGTTTATGCTCAAATTACATTATGATATCAATTGAAAATCTACTGAGTAACAGGAATGACTTAACTAATTGCTTTTCGCAGTAAATTTCTTTTTAATGAAATGTACTGTAAAATTCAGCATAACTTGAATGAATCCTGACTAATAAAATCTGACGGTTAAAATCAACATTTCAGGATGATATTTCAAGAATACAAATGCTATCAAAATTTATTTTATTATTTATTTTAACACACAGATATTGGTACAAGAAGGCACCAAATAAATATGCGCCACACAAATCTCATTTGACATGGGTGAGGGCTGTGATACTACCCGGGTGCCCAAACCGAAGCAGGCAGTTTTCTGTTGGGGCCACACCCCGAGCCTTTCACCTGAAGGTCTGATCCACAAGGTAGTGGAGCATCGTAAGGAGATGCAGTCCCATGGTAGCCGGTGACCAACGACTGGTTAATACACCATTTGTTCCTTCAGGATACTGGAGTCCATGTGCACCATTGGTTTGGAATCCGGTTAAAGCGCCAGACGTTCACTTTTCGTCCTCTCAATTTGATAAACAACACCCGTGGTACGAGAATGCAGTGAGTAGGACTTCCCTGGCAGAGGCTATATACGCGTGGCCATGTGAGAGCATTTGGAGAGATTGAGAGAGCTGCCTCTCCCCACTCTCGGCCGTACCAGGGTATTTGGGGGCAATGCTATCAAAATTTCTGTAAATAAAGTGTTCATTAATTAAATAGAATGCTTTCAAAGTGATAATTGTTATTTCCCAGTTCAATGCTTTACTACAAAATTCAGCTTCTGTTTTTTAAACTTTGTCAAGTTTCTGAATCTTTCTTATCCATGTAAACTACAAGAAGAACAATAACACTCTATCAATTTATATAGGTTGATTACTTTAAATCAGTTACTGATGTTTCTAAAGTAGTAATTAACTAATTATTGGGTCAGTAGAATTAGTAAATAAATTGTTAGTATTAGAGCCAGTTATTGGTTCATTCAAAAACATTAAAACGTAATAATAAATTGAATATTTGAATTAGTTAAAGTTAGACATTAACACCGTTGAATACCGGCTCAGTGGTTAGTGGTTAAGCACTGGCACGCGAGACTAATAGGTCCTGGGTTTCGAACCTCGCGAGGTGGGGTAGTGGGTGCGCACTGCTGAGGAATCCCACGATAGGACGAAACGGCCATTCAGTGCTTCCAGGTTTTCCATGGTAGTCTAGCATCAATTGACTCATGATCTCAACTACTGAAATTAAACTCTATACATAAACGTTTGCTCTCAATGATAAAGATATGCTTCTAACTCCTTAACTTCTATCATCTTGCACTTAACTCTTTGAAAAACTAGTCTTCTATCTGAAAGATGTGAATTTTGTAGTATTAGCTGCTATGCTAAGTTCACATAGTTTAATCTGGCTTCTGGACAAGCCAATTTATTGATTCTTGTTAAATCACACTATGACCTTGTCAATTCTTCACCTATCAACCTTGACTGTTTTTATATGAGCGTATATGCGTACATTGATTTTCCTACTCATCACTTGCCTGTAACTTATTTTCGTCTGACTATAAATATCAATTCACACTTGGTTAAATTGAGTTGGCTCACACACCTTCTCCACCGCGCGTCATTTCCTTCTCTCTACTTAGTTATACTATATTCAATATCTATCGATTAATGTATCCGAATAGTAAAATTGGTGTCTGATTTCTTTATGATTCTCAGTAATAATTGGAAATGTTATAATATATAAGCTAGACTTCACCTAATTACTAATCCTTACGAATATTAATTGTTAGTGTAGTAAACGAGAAAACAAATCGGGACAATCGAATGTATTCGAACAAAAAATGACAGAATTTCTTAATAAAAATCTTTTGCACAATGTTAATCAGTCGTCTCAGACTTCATTGTTTTTATTTTTCGATTCCACACCAATCATTGTCTGGTTTCAGTCTCTTTTTTTCGATTTTCTTAGTCTTCTACCTCCATGCATTTCACTTACGATTGATAATACAGACTACTTATATCTACCGATATCAGTAGCATACACCACAATAGTAATAATAATCTCTTATTCCAATGGTAGATATTTAAAAAATTAGTAAATTTTCTGCACAAAATAAAAAAGAAGCATCTTAACAAGTTTTACCTGATCTTTATTTGTACTGTAACATATTTACTTCACATGAACAAGTTTTAATTTGCCTTGAGTTCATTTGACCAAAAGAAAATTGTTACTCCGTTTTATGATTTACATTTGATAAAACAATGCTCAACAGTAACATATAAGATTTCCAATTTTCGTTTAAGAATATATTCACTATATGATAAAAAGGTTAGCCACTAATCCTGATGAGTGACTTCAAGGACCTATACAACCCAATCGCTTTTATAATACATTCGATAAATAAATAACTTGTGATAACGCAGGAGAATAATATTACAAATCATAAATGTTTATCATCATCCATCACTGAAAACGTTATAACAAACAAAAAAGTGAATAGTTTTTTTTCTATTAATGGCTAGTATATTCCTATTTCTTTTTAGGTTCCAGAATCCGTAGCCGCAGTTGCTTGGATGGTAATCATGGGTGATGGTCTACATAATTTTACAGATGGGATGGCTATCGGTCAGTTTTATACGCTGATACATTTTGATAAAGTCTGTAATTTTCCCTACAACTGTTAGGTTCATTCATTTCTGTCTATAAAAAAGTGATGAGATCATAATTTATCGGCAACCGTTGAGCGACGCTAGATTGACCTCGAGAGTGTCCAGGTAATAACCAGGACCAAATCAGATTTATAAACCTGTGTGAGAAATCAAAATTATGATTTACAGTTGATGATTAATGTTAGAAATTAGATTTAGGGTTTTCATCACCAACCGACATCAGTTATAATGCCAAAACTCTATTTATCCGAATGAATGAGCGAATTTCGCACCAAAATTCATGACCTGTTATCTTATACTTGATTAGTTCTTCCATAAATTCTAGTCTCGCCAAAAAAAGTATATATCGAGTAACATATGTGGATAACATGTGACGTAGCAAATATACAGATACACAAAGGATAATTCAATTTGATAATCTTTAGCAGTTAGTTGGCTATTAACACTGTAGGATCTGATACATCATGGCACACCATCATACATGAAAGCTACATGTTATTCATAGATAGGTATTCATACAATCAGTAATATCATATGAGATTGTATACAAACCGCTTAAAAATTGCATAAGAACTATTTTAATAACTCAACAGTAGTATAGGTTTAAGACTGCAATTGATCAGTCTGTTATTGGCATATTGGTTGCTATCCCGACATGATAACGCGATGGCGTTTGAATACAAGTACATCTAACTGACGAGTCACAAATAGGACAAAACGCGTAACAGTAGTATGATTAGGAATTCTAAACTACAAAATAGGACTAGTCACTTTAAAATAGTTAGTGAAGTAGTATAGTGATAAAACAGAGTTTATTAGAATCTGGCTATAAACTTAATACTTGAAAGAAAGATAGATCAATTTAATGTTTAATCTGTGGAAAGGTTACATAAACAGGAAATTAACACAGTTACGTAAGTATTTTCACTGCTTAGAAGGAAATAATTCCTAATGGATATTCTTTTTGATAAGATCAAGTATGTTTTTCTAAATGCTACTTAATAAAAATAAGTAAGTCTGCTCAATAAAAAATTGATATAGAATTTAAACTTTCGAAAAACTTTTAATTACCTATACATAATCTAATTTTAACGCCAAAAGAATGATGCCTACATTACCCTGCCATCTATACCTGAGTTAAATAGTCATACGTTGAAACAGAATCTTAAATCGGTGGTTAGTGGTGTTATTTCTTTATGCGTCCGATTAGTTATTACGCAATTTATTCGCCAATCAAAATACGACCCTTTAACTGTACTAAACCAGTGACATTCGTTCGGTCTGATCAACCTAGCGTCCTACTGGTCCGTTTCTCGCCTAGCCCGTCCAGCTGAGTCCAGAATGCCAACAACAGCCTCCACTATGCGAATCATTTATTTCAGACATACTGGGTTTATACACTAAACAAACAGACCGCAACGTACCATTAAAATAGAAAATAACATTCATGCAAAATATAGCCAAAGGTGGCTGTGAACGTGGAAGACAGTAATTAATAAACTGAGTATAACATAAGAACAGTAAATCGTACAATAATAGTCTATAAGTCAAAACGAAGCTTATAATAAGAGGAATATAGATATACACAGTTTAGTTACTGAATATTTATACTATAAGAATATAGAGATAATATTAGTCCATTAATAGGTCCCAAAAGTTACTAGTACCTTAATCTTCACTAGGGATATAGCAAGTAGAACTGGTATACAGCCAATATAATCAATAATTATGAGACCACCATCTGTGATGTTTCAAAAACCTCAAATAGCATGTAAACGATAACATTACATATTTGTTGAATTTTTTGTTTCCATGTGAATGTGCAATAAGGAGAGATAATTACATAGAATAACGGTGATACAAAAGATACATAATTAATTGTGAAAAAGAAAGTAAACTCAGATAACGCATGTAAGCAGGAACGCATTCATCTTCGTCCTTTACCTAAGATATATTGCATGAGATTTCTCTAAAATTGGCCATTTTCATAGGTGTTTAGACATGGATATGAGAGAATACATAGATTAGTTGTGTAGTATAAACTTTATATTTGCATTAAGCACGATATATATACATATATATATATATATATCGCTTCTTGACCTGAGTTTTGATAAGTTTCAGTTTCGTATTACACTATTCAGGATGTAAAAACTTAACACTCGTGTTTCGAACTAATCAATTTTTTATGAAAACAAGTTTAATCTCTTAATGGTATTTACCATAGTTTGTTATCGGTCAGTTTTCCAGTGCCAACAAGTGATTAACTGATTACATCCATTTTGACAATTCATCATTCGTCACCGATTGAAATGAATGGTCTTTGTGTTATGCCGTGAACTGATTAAAGTTAAGAATATAAGCCATCGGATCTCAACTCTGGTCTAATGATCAAGGATTCATCGCGGAACCGAAACAAGGGTGTTTCGGTTCCTGATAGAATCACCGATCAGCACTACTAGGACAAAATAGCTATCCATTTCTAATTAGTTCTTAGTGGTACCCCAATGGTTTCAAACTCATGACTAATCACATATTTAAGTGTTAAAATGTCTTTTAATTGGCTATCTTGTGTCAAATATATCAATCTAGAAATTGGTTTGCCTAGCACCAGTATAATTTATGTTTATCTTATAAATCAGTTGATTTCTCTGTAAACTGGTTTCGATGCCAATGACTGATGTTATCTGATTTATGTGCTTTTTTGGAAATCTATTTAGTCATTATTATGAAGTCTACAAACTTTACAATCCTTCATGATTTACGAAGTTTCTCTAGGTGATGTCAATTAGTAATGAAAATTATTAACGCGCATTATTACTTTAAATAACCCGTTTGATCTACTATCCTAACTAACTAGCTAACCAATCCAAATAAACTCAAACTTAAAACAGCGTCGAATACACATTCGTCTGGGATGGTGGAGAAGATTTGTAGCTCAGGTGGATGATTTTGGTGGGGTTTTGTTCTCTGAGCTGGATGGTTTTGTCGTGGAGTTTGTGCTGATGATGTCGTTCAGAAGAACGATGAAAGCTCCACGACCAAACCATCCAGCTCAAAGAACAAAACTTCACCAAAAACACATTCTTCTGAATTTGAAACACTCAAATCCATTTGTTTATGACATTCACTATATTCATAGTGAATTTTCCTTGTACTGTGAATTGGCCAGTATAAAACAATTATCAAGGATTCCTAATTATATTGTCTTAAGAAATAAGCATTAAACAACTGTTTCAAACGATTTATCACCTAGTTATTTTAAGACGAAATTATTTAGGCAATTATCTGAGAGTTTCTTTGCTTCTTTTTTGCAGGTGCTGCATTCGCTCAAAGCATTTCAGGTGGTCTTAGCACAAGTGTTGCAGTATTCTGCCATGAACTACCGCATGAGCTAGGTAATGTAAAATGCACATTAAATGTCTTTAAAGATCACACAATAATTCGACAATGAATGATATATGCTTCATCCTTAAGTTTCAGGAATAGATTTAACTTCTTAACCAGTTGATTTTGGCGACTATGGAGAGTTTGCAATAGAGAGTACAACAATAGTCAAGAAAAGTGTTTATTCTTGATAAATTACAAAATATTCACACATATACATAGCCTTAACTCTTCCATTTACATATTTCGGTGTGTTCGGTAGTCTGAACCATCTCTTCATCTGGACTTCACGTGTTATGCCAACGTCTTACTTTCAATGTACTGAAGCTCTTCACTCCATCTGACAACTGCTACAATTTTGACGCCACGTTCCGCTAAACACTTCTTACAAACAATCTTGTTAGCAGCATCCGCTACACTAAGATAGAACCGCATGAACTGTTCTCCAGGCTTCCTAAATTTAACTTAATTGACCTGTCGGTTTGAAAACAAAAGTTTCACTTCAGCCTACGCCTGCAAAATGAATAAAAGGGCGATAGAATGACTAAAACGTCGTTATACTCTAACCAGGGGCATGACCTCAGTCTTAAATAGCTATGAATGTTTGTATTATAGTCATTCTGTTAGTTGATACTAAAGTGTGATATATTTAATCCTAATTCGTCAAGAACATCTCTCCTGATGTAGGCTTCGTTCCCGCCATTTCTGTTAAATTATACTTAATTTAGGATTTTCAGACCGTTTCATTGTCCGCTCCATTAATATGAGTTCAGTTAGACCCAATTTGTAATAGCTATCATGTGAACCGACCATAAAATTTTCTCTTCCAAGTTAAGACTACGTTTTTTTACCGCTTGTATACGTGTCAATAAAATTTCTAACGAACTCCCAAAATTTTCACAGTCTTCATAATCATCTTACATTTTCGGCTGATTATGTAATATTACTTGAGATATATTAGTAAATACCAGTACGTTTGGTACAAGTAGTAATATAATCATTCAATTCTCACATTACACAATGCGATTACATAAATTAAGCGATTTGAGTTCGCAAATTTTATGCTTTGGGATAATTCTGATTAACCTCGATAATGTTCATTATAATAATTGAGGCTTGAAGATCAGGTTAAGGTTTAACCCCCACGGAGAGGTCGAAGATGGCCAATAATAAGTAGTCTCAAACAGGAACCGAGAAATTGTCCAGTGATTTATATGGAGTTTTGTTCTCTGAGTTGGACGATTTGGTCGTTAAGCTTTCATTGTTCTTCTGAACAACAGTATCAACACAAACTTCAGGTAAAAGTGAATTGTTCGAATTTCTCCATATATGAACCACAGCTTGTCGACCTCGATCTTGATTGGTTATTGTTCACCTTTAACCTGTCATTGCTTACTTCTTTATTTTCATTGTATCTCCCTTCGATTTGATTCCTGGTCCTAAATTTTTCCATGATTCTTCTGGTTGGTTGATAGATTATATCGATTTCAATGTGTTTGTTGAGTGCTGACCGACCTGGGTGTCAAGCTTCTAAAAATTCTCTGGTGCATTTAGTATTCCCCTTATCCAAGATCTCAACATTTTTCCAGTCGACTATGTGTCCACAATTGTCCACATGCATTGAAATAAGCGAACATATTTCAGGGCGCTTGACTGCTAATTGATTTTCGTGTGGGCGAAGATGAAGGGGTCGTCCATTTTGTGCGATGTAGTATTTTTCGGATTTGGGACATTTTATTTTGTAGATTATGTTCGGTTTTTCTTCTTCTCCATCATCACACTTGTTCAATGTCCTGTAATTGCCACTTCATGGTTGACCAATGTCATTCTATAACATCAACTAATTTAGAATCGAATAATCTTTACAAACTGATCATACTAACAACTGATAAGGAAATGAAGTGGAAAAGAGTAATTATGAACATGTAGTTAAAATATTGCCCACCAGAATGTTTGTAATTAATTTCGTGAAGTTGTACTGGGTAAATCAAACTATTTTATAAACTCTGTATCACTTTAACACTGAAAAAGTATTTCATTAGAGATAATGCGACTCATGGTTGCTAGAATACCATGTCACATAATCCACAAAAAACCCACCAATTTCATTTTTGTGTATTGTCTTGAAGATTATTTTCATTTAGAGGAGAATAAATTAATGATATCTTACTTAGAGAGCACCATCTTGATAAACTATATCATTTTTCAATTTGTGTGAATTACCAAATAAGATGAACCATCCTAAATTTATTGAAATCATGAACTAACCAAAGTTAGATCACTATTGAAAATTCGAAAACACTGAACGACAATATCATGAATTGATTAGGATTAGATATTGATACCGCTAGATGCTGACTCAGTGATCTAAAGGATAAGTGTTTACATCTGAGAACGAAGGTCCTGAATTTGATTTCTTGTGTGATGATTCTGAATGCTCACTGCCGTGGGGTACCGTACGAGGAAGAAACAACCTTTCAGTGCTTACAGGTTTTCAATTGTAGTCTAACTTAGATTGGTCCTTGGTTTCAGTGAAATTCAACAACCTCCACAACCCATCCTAATTCTAATTAATTAGCGAATATGATAACATAATGTTTAACTCGAAGTGTAGGTGAGACTATAATTTATCGACGACCTTTGAGCGACGCTAGACTGACCTTGAGAGTCTCCACTTAATAACCATGACTAAATGAGGGTTATGAATCTGTGTGAGGAATTATAATTATAATTTACAGTTGATGATTAAGCTTAGGAATTACATTTAGGGTTTTCATCACGAACTGGCATCAGCTATAATGCCAAAACTCTATTTCGTCAAATGGATAAGTGAATTTCGCACCAAAATCCGAGACCTATTGTCTTATACCTGATTGGTTCGTCTATAACTTATAGTCTCGCCAAGGTGTATTCTGGATAAGTTTACCTATATACTTCTTAAATGAACACTAAATTTTAATTTGCTAACCTACTGTAACGTGCTGATTAATGGACTATTTGGTACGTGGTACATTCCAATCATAAATATATACAGGTGCATTCACTCTTTGTGTTCTCCCAAATTCTAATCTTCTGTATGCTTTATGTCCCTTTTCTTTTTCTCGTTCCAAATTTATTTCACTATACTATAGTCCTTGTAAAACATCTGCAAACCCTAATCTTTCCGATTACTGCTTATACTTTTACCACCTCTACCACTATGGGATTTGAATCGACAACTGCACCTCTGTGTTAATGTGGTATGGCAACTTGAACTGATGCACGTACGTACAAAGTTCTACGTTGTTACTGACTGACTGACTGACTGACTGACTGACTGACTGACTGACTGACTGACTGACTGACTGACTGACTGACTGACTGACTGACTGACTGACTGACTGACTGACTGACTGACTGACTGACTGACTGACTGACTGACTGACTGACTGACTGACTGACTGACTGACTGACTGACTGACTGACTGACTGACTGACTGACTGACTGACTGACATAAATATATAATAACTGACTGCTGAAAAGTAAATAATAATCCTTGGTAATGATAGAGAAAAATTGATCATATCATAATGATAGAATGTTGCCACACAAAGAATTTAAACATTTTTGTTATATTCCAATGCTTTTTTTATTCACAGGTGATTTTGCTGTACTTTTAAAAACTGGTATGCGGATTAAAGAAGCAATGTTTTTCAATATTATCTCATCAATTCTTTGTTTATTTGGAATGTTAGTTGGTATAGGTGTTGGCAATGTAGAATCGGCAAGTTACTGGATATTTGCAATTACTGCTGGAACATTTATCTATATTGCACTTGTCGATATGGTAAGTAAAATGAAAAGAATTTGTTATAGCTTGTGAGTTTGTGCCCTTATCATTGTATAACGTGATGATACCACCAATTAGAGAACAGTGAATTATCGACCGGACCAAAGACACATAAAACAAGTACGAGCAGTCTAAAGGCCTTATCAGTCCTGCTTCCTGCCTAGCCCAGCCAGTTAAGTTCAGAACACCAATCTCAGCCTCTGCGATATGAATTATGTATTTCAAACATACTGGGTTTATATACGGTCCAAACAGATCACATCGTACCATAAAATGGAAAATAACATTTGTACAAGATCTAGCCAAAAGTAGCTGTCAATATGGGAGATAGTAATTATTAAACTGGGGATAACTCAAGAATGGTAAATTATATAATAATAGTTCATAGGTCAAAATAAAGCTTATGATAAGAGGAACACGAATATGAATAGTTTAGTTAACAATTATTCGATCAAAATATACGTATAGTATTAGTCCAGAAATAGATTCCGACAGTTACCATTCATTATTCTCATCGGAATATAACAGAATCATAATTGAATATGTAATTATTTAAATTATTCAGCTATTGATATTTTGACTGAAATACAATTAGTTATAGTTTCATACTGTTAGACACATTTCATTGATTCGTTAGTAAACTTCTTCACACATGACATGGTTGAACTTCTCTGGTCATGGCTTTTCACTTGAACTCCGAGAATTACCTCTCAAAGCTATTCACTAGTGAGCAAATGACAATTATCAGTACAGGGTTATGGAGATCGTGAGTGTGCACTGGTGAGGAGTTCCATACTATGAAGAAACAGTCGTCCAGTGCTTCCAGGATTTCAATGATGGTCTAACATTGATTCATTCATGATCTCAACTAAAAAACTCAAGTCTCCACAACCCTATACTGATAATTATCACGTGCGCACTAGTGACTAGCTTCGAGAGGTAATTCTCCGAGTTCTAGTGAGAAGCCATGACCAGTAGAGTTCAGCCGATACGATGGAAGTAAAAAAGCAATTATAGTCTTTGTTTCATTTGTTTTTAGCCATATATCCTAGCTGAGGTTATCAGCAACATTTTCGATGTTCAATAAGTTTTATGTACCCAAAACTTTGAACCATTCTCAGTCATTTTTATTATTTTTAATTTTAATCTAATATCTGCTTACAAATGTCTGGAGACTATATCTGATAGGTATGAATAAGGAAATTTGGAAATTTGGCCTTTGATTGGCTACAGAAATGCTTTAATTATATCAAAATTAAGCCAGAATGGCATGTTAGACACTATCACCATTGGGTGCCGGCTAGCTCAGTGGTCCAGTAGGTTAAGCGCTCGCGCGCGAGATCGAAGGCCCTGGCTTCGAATCCCGCGAGCGGGATCGTGGATGCGCACTGCTGAGGAGTCCCACAACAGGACGAAACAGCCGTCCAGTGCTTCCAGGTTTCCAAAGGTGGTCTAACATCAATCGTTTCATGATCTCAATCAGAATGGCATGTGTTGTTGAAGATCGATTATTTTATGAAGCCTAGTCGCATACATTAAACTATCTAACTAATTTAACTACTTCCAATCATATGTGTAGATGCAAGCTTCTTTTAGTCTTACGAAGTACCATTTAGTCAGATAATGCAACAATAAATAGCACACTAAAAATGTTACTATACTACTGATAAGTCAGTGAAGAATGGTTAAGATTTATATCACCGCACATTTAAAAAATACATTCCTTCAGGTCAAGTGTTATTTGAGTCATAAATGTACAACATCTTTAACTGCTTTTTCTGGAAATTCCTGCACGAACTAACTGATGACACAAACGTAATTAATTGCATATTACCATTCCATAGTGCTGATCGAGCCTCCAAATGCCCTGGTACGGCCGAGAGTGAGGACAGGCCGCCATCCCTCTCGAAATGCTCTCACATGGTCACGCGTATATAGCCTCTACCAGGGAAGTCCTACTCACTCCCTTCTCGTACCACGGGTGTCGTTTACCGAATTGAGAGGACGAAAAGCGAATGTCTGGCGCTTTAACCGGGTTGGTGGACATGGAGAGTCCACCTAGGGGAGTTGGAAAACACTGATTCCAAACCAATGGTGCACATGAACTCCAGTATCCTGAGGAAACAAATGGCGTATGAACCAATTTTTGGTCACCGGCTACCATGGGACTGCATCTCCTTACGATGCTCCACTGCCTTGTGGATCAGACCTTTAGGTCAAAGGCTCGGGGTGTGGCCCCTTAAGATAACCACCTGCTTTGGTTTGGGCACCCGTGCAGTATCACAGCCCTCACCCATATCAAATGAGATCTGTGTTGCGCATATGTATTTGGTGCCTTTTTGTACCAATACCTATGTGTTAAAATAAATAAATAAATAAATATCAGTCAAATAATAATGTAGTCACTAAATATAAACATCTTGATGTATTTAGCTTAACGTTAAATGATTGCAGCGAATGAGTTGAATGACCTAGACCTAGTTTTTGTGCTAACTGAGTCATCACCAAAGTTTACCTGTAATGACAGTGGAAGTGATAATTTCCATATAGTTTAAACCAATGTCAAAATAGATTATACGTATCATCAGTAGCTCAATGGGAACAGCTCTCATGAAATAGAATTCAGTTCCATGAAGAATATAATTCAGCTAAAGATTGAGAATGCACCAAAATCTAAATCTAATCTCAAGGATTCCTGTTATTATTTATCACTCATTAGCTAACAGAAATCCTTTCACAATGATAACAACAACAAAGTTAAAATAAAACATCCATATCAAATGTGTATTACAGCTTAAACCAATCATCTAATTTTCGAGTGATAAATCACCTTCATTATATCAAATTCTCTTTAACATTCTACCAATACCCCAAAGATAAGTCACGATTAATTGACACGTAATGGATTTAATTCTATTGAATGAATTATATCCAACTATATTCAATAATTTTGTTGATTGTTTTATCAATAATTCTAGTTACCTGAACTGAATTCAGTTGAATTGAGACCAGGTCAAACACGTATTGGTCAATTAATGATTCAAACAACTGGTTTAATAACTGGTGTTGGAATTATGCTGGTTATAGCATTATTTGAAGATTCTATTCGTGTAATAGTTGATTAAAATTATGAAAAAAAAATGAAAAAAAGGGTGCATTTATATTACATAACATGATGAACTCTTATTGATATATTGTGACCATATGAATATCTATTATCCATTAGTGTATTTGACTATGTATTGATGATATATCTCGAAAAAAATCATTATACTACTTACTGATCTTATTTATTTCATTTATATATGTTATTCATTTTATTTCATTATTTCATTAATTGAGTATTACCAATATTATCTTTCTATTATGAATTGGATATTTGGTTGCTTTTCTTATTATTATTATTCACTTATCTATCTACTTACTCATTAAAGCATGTAAACAACTAAACTATTCATCTATCTATCTATATAACTGGAAAACTGAATTACAAACTAGTATACATTTCGAATTCACTTAACAGTATAACTACATTTATTTATTTGAACTTATAAATATTGGTACAAATGGTCACCGAATATACATGCGCCAAACAATATTTCATTTTATTTGTATGTGGGCTGTGATACTATCTGGATGCTCAAACCGAATCAGGTGATTTTCCTAGGGGGGGGTAGCATAACTGGAGCCTTTGACCTAGAGGTTTAATCCACAAGGCAGTGAAACAAAGTTAGGAGATGCAGTCCCATGGTACCCGATGACAAACAATTAGTTCATATGCCATCTGTTCCTTCAGGATATCCTTGGTTTGGAATCAGGGTTTTCCAACTCCCCTAGATGGACTCTCTGTGTCCATCAACACGGTTAAAGCGCCGGATATTCGCTTTTCGTCCTCTCAATTTCGTAAACAACAGCTCCACTGCGAGGAGGTAGTGAGTGGGATTTCCCTGTCAGTGGCTGTATACGCATGGCTATGTGAGGGCATTTCGAGAGGGAGAGTGGACTACAGTTTACAAATATGTTACTCGAGTAAGTAAACACGAACACAACATGTTCTTAATTTATATAGCATTGAGTAAAATATATGGACTAAAACAAAAATGTATGTGTTACTAGCCAATAATGAGATATTTAATCCAGTTCAGATTGAATAATAATGAAAGTTTTTCATCATATATTCTTTCTGAATTACTTCTGTTATAATACATAAAGATGAATGCAGTAATCTACTTTATATTATTTCATATCTATGAAATACGGACTTTGAAAGTTGAAAATATGCCGAGGTTTTACATATTCAAGTATAGATCTCCTCAAACTTTTGAAAATGTATGCTGAAATAACTATATAACATAGAGGTTAGTTATAAGGCCCAATGACATACTGCTTAAGTTGGTTGGTGTAACTATAGGCATTTCACCGATTTAAGTGGTTGAGATGTGTCACATATGGTTATATACTGCTCACCCTGACATGAAATGTTCACTCGTAGTGAAGGAAATTGTAGGTAACCTGATAGATACTCGCAGTTATACTGTAAAATGTTCAGTTTTCTGGTTCAACATTGGTCGTAGATGCATCTGTTCATCTTTCCCTAAAAATTAAGCTTAGTATTATGCGATACTTTCAATGTTCCGGTCTCATGAGTTCATCATGAACAAAATATAGCTCACATTGAGCTTTATACTTCAATCGATATTATCTAGTTATCGTTTTAGGACTAGTATACTGAAATAGTGTGTGACAACTTGAACTAATATTCATTCGTGACAGTTTCATATTGTCTTACAGTTTCTGACATTCAGAAGTGTCAGAAATGAGCATATCAGCTTCCAAACTAACAACCAGTTGAGTGTGATAGAAATAGCATTGCCAATTTTATTTCATAAACAATGAACAAAACCTATGGATTCTTCTACAGTGAAAATGTTACTTAGACATCCTCCTCAATTCCATTAGTGATACTGTGGTGTATGCTACTTATGTCGACAGATATAAGTGGTATATAACACCAATCGAAAGTGGGAAACCTGGCAGCAGAAGGTTGAGAAGATAGAATAGGAAAGAATGGGAACAGAAAGTAATGGGTATGGAAATGAAGGAACAATAAAGTCTGAAACAATTAATGAACATTTTACAAATGAAGGATTGAATGTATGGTTTTTACATTTTTACCAAATAACTGTAATTTTGTGCTTAAATACATTTGGTCGTCCCCACCTGTGTTTTCGTTCATTACAATATTATCAGTATTTTTATGAACTGTATGAATGACAATGTACACATTACATCATTACCCAATAAAATACTTCACAAATTCAGTCTTAAATATAAACAACTGGAAATAACAAACCCATATAATTGATAAGAAATATTATTATCCAAAAGATAAGTTGGTAATGAATGTGATTCGGTAGTATGATAAAAACTTCTCTGGAGTTTAAAGCGATGAATATTGGTTGGTGTTCCGATCCCTTTGTAAACATCAACTGAGATTCTAAGGGATTCACTCGACGAATTCCAAATAAAAAGAAAATCGAACGACTCCCTAGAACAATTATGTAATCCATTAAAGAAACATGCCCATTTTAAGCTGATAACAAATATCCTTAGATAAAAAAATTGTCATGGGTTGAAATCATAAGTCGATTGAAGCTAGACCATCATGGAAAACCTGGAAGCACTGGACGGCCGTTTCGTCGTAGTATGGGACTCCTAAGCTGTGTGCATCCACGGTCCCGCACCACGCGGGGCTCGGACCCAGGACCTACTGGCTTCGCGCACGAGCACTTAACCACTAGACCACTGAGCTAATCGGCATCCAACGGTGTTAATGTCTAACTTCAACCAATCCACGAAGTTGTGCCACCTTACACCATTTCAACCTGTGAAATTTCTAAAACTCTCCACAAAACCCATTCTGATAATAATAAAAAATTATAATATCATGTTCGTAGGATAGTCAATTTAATTGTAAAATTTTCAATCTTCCTAAACTAATTTGAGTACCAAGTTTATGGAAGTCCACTAGTCTTTTTTATGTTTCTTCTAACTGAATTTTGTGCTGATGATGTCGTTCAGAAGAATGATGACAACTCCACGACAAAACCATCCAGCTCAAAGAACAAAACTCCACCAAAATGTTTCTTCTTCTTTGATTTTCTATATTTTCTCTATTAAATTTCTGTTCATAGGTGTCTAAATAACTTGATTTAAGCAAAGATATTATCATTAATACAAACGTTAATGACATACAGATAACGAATATTCTTAGATGAGTTGATTACCTAAATCAGCATAGAAACCATAATGATTAAAGTGTGACAAAAATAGTTACAAAGTGATAAAATGTTAAATTGATTTTTATTGTAAAATGTATTGATTTTGAGGAAACTTGTAAATCAATATTAGGTCTTAATAATCTTTACAACCCTTATTAAGTTCTCGTTTGTATAAACAGGGCTTAAGGTGGTACGCCTTCATATTGATTAAATCTTAATAATGCTTGTTTAATTTTTATTTTATTGATTTTAACACATATATTGGTACAAGAAGGCACCAAATACATATGCGTCACACAGATCTCATTTGATATGGGTGAGGGCTGTGATACTGCACGGGTGCCCAAACCAAAGTAGGTAGTTTTCTTAGGGGGCCACACCCAGAGCCTTCCACCTGAATGTCTGATCCACAATGCAGTGGAGCATCGTAAGGAGATGCAGTCCCATGGTAGCCGGTGACCAAAAATTGGTTCATACGCCTTTTTCTCCCTCAGGATACTGGAGTCCATGTGTACCATTGGTTTGGAATCAGGGTTTTCCAACTCCCCTAGGTGGATTCTCCATGTCCACCAACCCGGTTAAAGCGCCAGACATTCGCTTTTCGTCCTCTCAATTTGGTAAACGACACCCGTGGTACGAGAATGCAGTGAGTAGGACTTCCCTGTCAGAGGCTATATACGCGTAACCATATGAGAGCATCTCGAGAGAAAGAGCGGACTCTCCCCACTCTCGGCCGTACCAGGGCATTTGGGGGCAATGCTTGTTTAAAATTGATAGTGAAACACATGTTATTATTAAAATAATCTACTGGTAATGAAAATATCAAGTACTCTTTATGTATTTCGCATATTTCGAAAATAGAAATAGGATGAACCAATAGAACAATGATAAAAATTCATTCTTAGAGTTAAAAAAGATGGATGAAAATCAATTAGGCAATTTTTGTTAACCAGTAAAAACAGTAGAGACTGATCATTTGGAATTGTGAATACCAACAACGGAAAACTACGTCCGTAAGTTGACGAGCTACATTTTCTTTCTAATTTGTTTTACGAATGTAACATTTTAAATCTCTGTTCATATCAGATTATGTCTCAGTTGCATCTACAAGACAGACGATATGTACAGCTAAGGAACCCTTGAACTGTGAGATTAGAATTATTTTATACCTTTCTTTCTACAAACTAATTCTTTCTTGTTGTATTATATCCTTATACACAATCTTTCTTTTATATATTACTACCATTGAAGTAACTACCCCTATGAATTTGGTGATCATCTTGTTGTGCTAATGAGATGTGGCAATTTGGACCGATTCATATATGTGCCTGGTCCTATGTTGTAGCTGACTGACTGACAGCTAAGGTTTAAAATCACCCACTAAGTAAAGTTTATAATATGAGTCACACAAACCTGCAAGTTCTGTTTTTTTATGAACATGTTGTCGTTTGTTGAAAACATCTTTGGTAATCATTTTCTAATTGTAATGAGAATGCACAAAATCTTCAACATAAGACAGTCCAATAAATCAGTAAAAGGGTGAATAGTTTTCTCGAAATTAGTCGTTAAACAGCGGAAACTATGGTTATTCCCATGTGATACAACAACTCATGATTGTAATAATGATCATCAGGATAATGCGTAAAAGCCTTTCAGTCCGAATATATGAATAAGATTCACATACACAACCGACGAGTTATCTATATTACCAAGTAAAGAACGAATTTCAAAACCATTCTTAGTAGTGCCTGAGAATTTATTGATCAATGAAGATGAATTAATTTGACATACATATTTCATGTGGAAATCACATGAATTTCGACAACTGTCTCATCATGAGATGAGAGTTTCATCCACATAAGTCTTTGATTGTCTCAAGAATTCTGTTTTCATCGAAAATCCTACAACAGTAAATACCTCCGAAAATTATATCATCTTCACTCTTAAAAATGGACATGACAAACGACAGTGATGATCGTTATTAGAATCCGATACCTACAATCTAGAATCACTACTTTAATAGTCCCCGGAAACATGCATTTAATTGACCGATTGATTTAGCGCTTTTGATTAAATGAAGAGTACAGTTGGGGTGTGGAGAGGGACGTTTGCTAAGAAAATCTCACACTCTTAAAAATCAATTCTTGTTGGAGGTATTCCAAGTATTATGCTTTGTTTCTCTGTGCTATATATTCTTTGGAAAATAATTGTAGGCTAGGCTGAAATGCATCAGAAGTTCAATTTTCTCGCCTTTGGGATATTAAGGATACATCAATATTTCTATTGTAAACAGTCCACTCAAAAGTCAGCATAATTAAGATTTTGGTAATGATACGGACGCTGACTTCAACATTCTATCTCTTTAATACATTCACTATCTTATTGTTACTAACTTTCAGATAAGCGGTGATGGATATGAAATACATTATTACATAGATTCCCTGGGATGAATCATTTCTATCACCGTTATCTCAAAACAAATGTTTTGTTCGTTGACCAACCTAATAACCTGAATTTCGTTGAGTTTTGCCATACTATAAAGAAAAGAAATCGAAGTCAATAACCTCGACCACTGAGCCTAAACTGTGTCGTACGGATAAAGCACTCTTATCGAGACTGTATATCGGTGTCGCGGGGTACAATGTATGCTCACCGTTGAAGAACTTCATACTAGAAAGAAACGTCTACCCAGTGCTATCTTATTTCCAATGGCACTGTAACTGTTATCCATCCATAATATGACCTCGGTTACATTCAGAATGTCTCAGTAAGACTGAGAACCATATAGTAAATACTTCATTTGCAAAATGTTCGTTCGACTTCATTGCTCCTGCATTTCCATACAAATTACTTCCCATTCTCGTTCTTTCCTCCTTGATCTTCTTGACCTTCTGCTGCCAGATATACTATTCCTGACTAGCGTTACATACTACTTATGCCGATATCAGTAGCGCACATCACAGAATGTCTACGAGCAGTAGGTTGAAATGAAACGAAGGAAACGGAAAACAATCAAAACAACAACAGGAATGAACAAACGATGTAGCACATAAGAGACAATTCTAAAATGTGCAAATGATGTATTTGATATTTTACTAATACGTTGATTATGAAGTGCTGTTAGAGGCGGTTATCACTTCCCGGTTGACCACACCGTGGAAGGGTTCTTCTGGAGGTGCCTGAAAAGGAAATTGGATTAGAGGTGGTCTTAGTGACCTGAGACTGTGACCTCAGTGCCCAACGAACGAGTGCTTGAGGTCGGTCACACATGACCTTTCGTGAGTAATTTTCGTGTTAGCTCCGTACTTGTTCAGATCCTACCGCTGGAGACGAGTATCCATGAGATAAGGCGGTGTGTTCATTTTTAGGGTGGACCTTTTCTAATCCCACCCCTTCTTGTGGGAAGGCAGCATCGCTGTCATGCTGGTTGTCTGAAGGAAACACCTTACTACTGTCACACCTCTGTACAGTCGGCAGTACGACTTCGCCTTCGGACCTTGGGTTTGTTGCTTTTAGTCTTACCGCTCTTCAACCGACCTGTCTGACATGGTAGGACCTTGAGGAACGGTTGTTCCAGCCAGTATAGCTCGGTTGCTTCATCACGATAAGCAAGCCCGACCACCACGTCAAGGTAGCAACAACGGTCGGGATATTTTACTAAACCATTCTGTAATTTTGCATTAAACAATAAACTGATCATCCTCACCCGAATTTTTGTACACTACACTACTCTATATATGAATATTTTAATATAAAATCTCAGAGTTGATGAATTGTAATAAATATCCATGAACTATTTGATATGATTTGTGTATTTTACAATTACTAATTACCTACCTACATAGCTTTAGAAAGAAAAAAACACGATATGGTAAGTAACAAATCAATATATTACGGACTTCTAACCTAAAAATAGTAGAGTTTACGAATTGTTTTAATATAAGTTAATACATATTGATTATTCACTGACAAAAATGGCAATATATAAGAGTACAATATGATATGATAAATATTTCGGTACTATTTTTGGTAGAATATATCGATAAGTTGAGAATAATATTAATAAAGATACTTTAATCTGATAACCTGTTAAACTACAAAGAATACCTACTAAAGTAATTATGATCTGTTACTATGATTAAGTGTTTTTGTTGGAGTTCGGTAATGACTTAGTATGGTTCATATCAATAAGCTTCTATTTAACAAATAACATAATGATTGTGAATAACAACCAAAGAGACTAACATTCTTAATTAGAACGCAAAGACAGAACTACCTTTTATCGGTGTATTGTCATTTTGATTTAAAAACTCAGTTGCATACATCAACCACATGACCATAATGCAACACAAATGAGAAATCATAATCTGTAAATAAGTAAGTCAAGTAATACAGAAGTGAACAATAAGTGCGTAATTGATTAACCGTAACTTATGGACAACATAACATATAACTCATGAAATGAAAGTATGTAATAGGCGTAATAGAAAAATTCCACACACCACGTATTTAATGAAGGGCTATATATATAATTTCCTACATTATCATTCTAAAATTTCCATCTCTCCTGATTATTTGCACACGAATCAAACGTAAGCTTTCAAAGACAGTAGAAGACTTATGTAATTATTATTTTCATGATAAGATTAGTAAGATAGCCGTGTACCATTTGTTAATTGCTAAATAATTAATAAGAAAGTTAGTGGCTAGTGTCGCAATGCCTTTTAACCTACAACCGTGAACCATAACTTTGTCATTTATGATAATAGCTTGTGGACGCATAGACTAACAAACTATATCAGTTTTTGTGACAGCAGTGTTTATTACCGGTAACCATGTTTTCGCAAAAATAAGTAAATATGTAATATTTATGTCTTGTTCGGACAGCACAGCTGTTTGTTTTTGTAATTTGATATTTATTTTAGCCTACTATCTTGTTCTTCACATCGATTTCTTATCCATAAAGTGATGAAACTCATTTGAACTTACGAAACAAATTACTCTACTAAAAATATCTCAGTACGTAATTCACGTCCATGTAATCTAGGAACAATGGGATACAAAGGCAGTCTATCATCTACAATTTAGTGTAGTTCATACTTACATTGGGTGAAATTTAGTTAAATATTTGGTACAGGAGTCTAAAATTACTTGCTTTCATGAAACTAACAACCATGATATACTCAGTAAAAACGAATATTAATTAAAGTTCCTAAAGAGTTGACTGATAGTGACGGAAAATCCTATATTCCTGAGATTAAAGTTCAAAGGTGATATACCCAGTGAAATGATGCATAAGAAAAATAGAACGAACAATTAACGTAAAAACATTATGCCCCTCTCCATAAACAGAGACGGATTGTGAATAACAGTGGAATCTAAGACTCGCGTCCCAACCTATTTGGGACCCGTCAGTCGGATGGACCTGCATCCCAGAGTTAATATTGATTTAATGACCAGGATCCCAACTGATCGATTGCAGTCGTAAACCTCAATGAGATTATTCAGGCAACCAATACAAATCAATTAAACCAGCTCATTGTATCAACCAGTAACTATTTGGATTAAGTAGATAAGAGGATTATGCGATTATGGCATAGTGAAAGTTTCTGAGGATTGACAGCATACTTTTTGATGGAGTTTTGTTCTGAGCTAGACGGCTTGGTAGTGGAGCTTTCGTCGACATCAGCACAAACTTCAGATGATGTCGTTCAGAAGAACGACGAAAGCTCCACGACCAAACCATCTAGCTCAGAAAATAAAACTCCATCAAAATCATCCACGTGAGCTACAAATCTTCACCATTTACAGCATAGGCAAGCACACATTAAATATGGGAGAATCAACCACAAGAAAATAAACAGAAACATGTACTATCCAGTTATTCTACGAGACAATAATTTGCATTAGACCCAAGATTCTATTATATATGTAGCTGCAAATACTCACCGTATTAAAGTCATTCAGAGAACAGACACACTAGATACAATTAGTTAATTATAACGTATATGTCGAATCAACACAAATAAAATTTATGGTAAAATGTACCATCTACCATACACAATTAGAGATGTTCTCTTTTTTTAAAAATACAGATGTATCAAACAAAAACGAAAGAAAGAGAAAAACAAAGAAAAATACACATGACGACTCGGACAAATCATCAATGAGTTGCATAAAAAACTGAGAACAATTCCTGATCATTATAGCGGTAAAGTTTATTTTTAGTAAACTATTCATAAAAAGAACATATGTTTTAATAATGTTAAATTTATTAAAGAATAGGCAAAATAGTCGTAATTTCCTTGATTTTTATTGTACACCCAAAATCAAAATATATTAAATCGTCTCCAATTTTATCTTGTCGGCCGAAGGGAATAGTGTGTGTGTGTGTGTAATGACGAGAAAATTAACTTCGACTGATAATTTTAATTTGGAGGTGCTCTAGATAGTTCACTACCTATCTGATAAGTGATAATTTTATTCCAATCTAGTTTGGAACGAGTTAAAGGCAGTTGTCGCCGTAGAGCTTTGAAAGTTGTGTCGGACATTGTTTTGAAGTTCTCGCCAATGGCAACCTACAAAAAAAGTATATATAGTGATTAGTCAGCAATAAACAACCTGCGGCGTGGCACTTAAATGGGGTGGGCTAACTAGCCACATAAAAACAGCAGTATTAAGATAGAATGAACATAATACAAAGGAAAGATTTGAGGTAGTAATTTCTATGATAGTCAAAAAGACTGTCGCTTAGAATGTGTTGACTATCGTTCTAGTCACTTGAATCACACTACCGTTTCCTTACGCAATTCACATTATCAGCTGACTTTAATCTCTTTAATAGGGCCAGACAAATGTTTATTTATTTATTTAAATACATAAACATTGGTACAAGAAGGCACCAAACAGATATACGCCACATAAACCATTCGATTTGTGTGAGGGCTAGAATACTGTCTGGGTGCCCAAACCGAAGCACGTGGTTTTCTTAGAGGGCCACACCCGAAACTTTCAACCTAAAGGTCTGATCCACAAGGCAGTGGAGCAACGTAAGGAGATGCAGTTTTATAGTAGCCGGTGACCAACAATAGGTTCATACGCCTTTTTCTCCCTCAGGATACTGAAGCCCATGTGTACTATTGGTTTGGAAAGAGGGTTTTCCAACTCCCCTAGGTGAATCCTCCATATCCACTAACTCGGTTAAAGCGCCAGACATTCGATTTTCGTCCTCTCAATTTCGTAAACAACACCACCGCTATGAGAAAGCAGTGAGTAGGACTTCCCTGGCAGTGAATACATAAATAATATATTTGTAATATCACAATGAGTAGAAAAAATAAAATTTTCTGACGTTTCGTGAATTAGTGTAAGTCACTTCTTTGGAGAATAAATCACCAAATTTGGTCATTTATTTATTTATAACAGTCTACCCAATGCTCAATTTATTCAAAATTATCAAATCAAACCTTGGTAATGATACCTACTTCCCTGGCAGTGGTTGTATGCACGTGACCATGTGAGAGCATTTGGAGAGGGAGAGCTGGTTCTCCCCGCTCTCGACTGTACCAGGACATTTGGGGGCAATATTGTTTTGTGGTAAGTCAATATCCATAAAGTTTGTAATTCGGACAAGGTGACTATGACCTGTAGAGTTAGGTGAGAATCTCGGAGGTAGCACATTATTCTGTTTGAAATGATTTATACACCAGCCAATAATGGAAGACAACTAATTAAATCCAATTTCAACAGAAACTGTCAGTCACTCATGTAGGAATTCAGATAACTCACTCCCATTTGAAATTTGTCCTAATGATGTGGCCTAGAAAGACAATGGAAACTTTACGACTAAATTATCCGGCTCAGAAAATCCAATATTCCCACGGATGACTAAAGCAACTACAAACTTCAGATGAAGGGAATACAAAAGTCTGAATTTAATTGCATTGATGTGACAGTTTCAAAGAATGATATGAGTAGGTTGTGAATAAAAATAAAAAATAAGATAATTATTTTTTTAATCAGTACTAGAATGTGGGAAAAAAGTTGTGTATATAGTCGACACGACGGATAAAAATGAAAAATCACTGCAAGCCACGCGAGCTTCATGATCATTTAAGATCAGTAACTTGTTGGTTATAATTTATGACGGAATTCATTTACCGAGCTCTGATTAGGCCCATATGGGAACATGCTGACTGATCTATTCTCAACTAAACAGAGATAGAGGACGAATCGAGGTGATAGGATATTCTCATTTTAATTTGATAGATTCTAATGCTTTTACAATTGTATTTTTATTATGAGGATTACTAGAACGCTTTGAATTTTTATTGTGATCTCGATACAGTCAATCGTTTGGGAAAGTTCAGACAGAACATCATAATAGTACCCAAGTCAAGCATTTTCTGTGTACAAAGGTTAACGACACAACTCAACCTCTTAAACTGAATAAAGTAGAGGAGGTTTCGATCTGGTGATCTAACGCTTGAAAGACAGTTCTTTAACTACAGTAGGTCGCCGCCCAAATAATACATATATATATTCTGTCAGCTAGCCATTGATTTTAATCTCCCGATAATTATTCGCAACCCGAGATTTGGGAATAGATTGAGTAAGTGAACCACCAGTAGTTTGATCCCCTCAGCAATTCCAGTTAATCGTCACATCAAAATGGTACTTGAAGCAATTGGCGAGAATGCTCTAGTTTTATAAACAACGCCCGTTTAAACTTCTTGTGATTTAAATCTGGCCAATTCTTTTATCAACATACTTCAAATAGTACAGTACTACCATGCATATATTCAGACTCGTCTAGTATTTGAAGATTAGCCGGAAAGTGAATGGTCAGCCAGAAAACGACAGATCTGAAGAAACTAAGATGGAATCGGAATATATCATTACATTTACTCATAGTTAATTTACAAAGCGCTTGTTGTTGATAAGCACGGACTACTTACTTGATATGCACAATCAGCTTCTTTTATTCTCTTTATTGACTCCCTGGCAAATACCCTAGGGATAGATTCAGAGACAACAAAATCAACTTCTTTCGATGAAATCAATTGAACATTCCCCTCTTCGTATAAATGTGTCTACATTTTTATCAAAAAAGGGATTGAAAAAGTAATATATCTTAAGAATTAAAACTCAAATAAGTACTTTGCACGAATTTTTAACTTATGAAAACATATAAAATTTACAACATACTTTATTCCATAAACAAAAAGGCCATAGTGAAGATTTCCGCATAATTTGACATGAAATCTTGTAATAAATTACACTCATTGAACAAGTTAGTGGCTGAATAGACTCTGCGACTTGGTGGATGAGGCAGTGGCATGTACAGAAAGCATATATTGGGTTTGAATCTTAGTGTGAAGTCAGGTACTGAAATGCAGATGCGTCTGGCTGACAAGTACTAGATAAAATGAAGTTTCAGATCTTAGATCTCAGTGCTAAACAAATTCCGAAAGTATTTGTGGGAAGATTAAGAATTAGTCTAATTCCATTACTGCAATTAATTTTGAGCCATATCACACAAGATCATTACCAACTGATATGTGCACCAAGGACCTCTTATCCACAACATCTAAACCAATAAACCATTCGTAGACTAATAACAACTAATAGGATGGTCTCATAATACAGGTTCTATAATGCAGTGCGTCAGTTGGAAAACAGTAACGATTATAAAGGAAGCAGTCAAGGGTCCTAGAGTGAAGTTGCACTGCTGAACGGACTAGGTCCTGGAACAGACATACTAATCATACTTCTAGACCTTAGGGCAATAGTCAACCGTTTTTATGATATCACTCAGTGAAAAGGAGTCCCAAAGTACGTCAGCTACAACGTAGGATCAGGCACATACTAATTGAGTCATAACTTATTATGAGCCGATAACAGATTTGCCACCATCAAGTACTATTCGTTATGGTTGCCACTTTCCCTATTTTTGTCTAACTTCTCAAAGGCATTACTTCTGGGAAATACAAGAACAAATGACGTTTCCTCCACAAACACGCTTTTGGCTGTTGAGAATACAAAAAAATCATACGAACTATAAAATAATACCCAAACTATAAATATAGACACAATGCACACTGATACCCATTATCTTCAAGTCCTCAGTCAATTATTCAGTCAATTTGAAAGCCATATTAGTTTTTACAAGGTTCCAGACAATAAAAACAGTAGAACCCAGTTTACAATGCAAACACAAATATTCACAAACCTGAACTTTAATAACACCATGAACCGAAAATTCCATCGATTTTTGTCCAACTAGCTTGAAAGTCCATTCTGATCGCCATCGTCCAGTTCTACAGGTTGACGCAAAATAAGATACATGCATATCGCGATTGTGACTTATAACTACGAACATTTGACAATCATTAAGTAATAAAATATTATTTAATTACGAAAAAGACTAGTTACCGAATGATTAGTGACTTCTAATAATCACACAGATGGAAAACTAGTTGATGGGGTTGTGAATCTGACGTGGTTGCAACATGTTAAGTATGTCAACCACATCCTATATTAAAGCGCAATTCCAACTCACGTAAGGGAAAGCTTGGGGCCAAACCATGAAATAACATCAGTTCATGACTTGGTCTGAGCCTTTCTGGTAGATTCAAATTACGTGTTTGGGACCACACGATAACCGCGATTAGTGGCTAACATCGTTTTGCTTTGGTCACCATGGCACAGGCGCATTCACTTTATCATCCCCTAGATCTTGAGATTCAAAATCATTACACACCTTTTGTCTCGCGAATTAGTTCGTTATGCTCGAATCATGTTCCCAATGTGTATTCTTATTATTACCAGTGATAATTCTACTACCTTTGTATTCATTTTCCTAATTTCATCTCGCTATACTGACAGTGTAACAACGGGTTGATGTATGCCAGGCTCCACAATGATTACAAATGACCGGATAAATAGGGGCACAAACTTCGACAGCAATGCAAAAAAAGTCAACTTTTAATAGTAGAACGAAACATCGCTTCGTAAAGTTCGTACGAATCATCATAAATAACTAATAAGGAGTGCAGTGCAAACTTTCGTACTAGGCCAAGACCTAAACTCCAATGTATGAGAGCCAATAATGCACCCTACAATAACATTTCTGAGTAGTGAACCATTGAGTACTGAGACTGGTCAACCAAAACCTGGTGAATAAAAATGCATTATTACCATAAAACGACGTAAATTTATGCAGAATGATCATACAGAAAATACAACATGCACAAAATTCACGACTTCGCATGTCATTTGTTTTCTTAGGATCCTGAAGCCCATGTGTACCAGTGGTTTGGAATGAGGGTTTTCTAAATCTCCTTCGTATTTACGATCCCAGTTAAAGCGCCGGAAGTCCGCTTTTCTTCCCTTCAAAAAAACCTCCGTCCCGAGAAGGCAGTGAGTAGGAATTCCCTGACAGTGGCTGTATATGTGTGATGATGTGAGAGCATTTGGGAGGGAGCTGACTCACCACTCTTAGACGTACCAGAGCACTTGGGGTCAGATAAGTCATAAAGTATGGGCCTTTGGTAAGATTTTACGGAGGCCATACCATGAATGTTAGAAGGTAGTTTTAAAAGGCTGACTATCGTACTTATTTAACTAGAATGATTAACACTGGAGATACGTCCAGTAATGATGAATAGTAAATATATGAGGAAATCCAGACGTTAGAAATAGGACTGAAGGGGTAGAAGAATATTTTCGCATGTTGGACACGAGACAAACTAGATCAGTCCCAAGGACTTTTCAACTTGGATGAGTAACCATATAGAACAAGGAATGAAATCGTTTATGTAGGTCGAATACGGACTTATTTGGTTGTTAAACTTAACACCAAAGATCAAGTGTTCATCACGAAAATCTACCGTCGTGCCTTGGCAAAGCACTAGGCTTTATCAATTTGGTTGATTATCTAATTGGGTTAGGAAAACAAAAGAATTCATTATTCAGTTTATGGTTTTGTAAGGATATCAAACAAAAACGTACTGTACCGTCAGGTGTCATTTAGGCCAATGTTAAGATTAAAGCATTGAATTCAGAACTGACATACTTCGTAAAGAGTGGTGACAGTAACTAAATGACTAGAAATTTATAGAGAAACTATAGAAAAACTATAGGAATGAACAATTTAGTACTTACGATTGATGTTTGCTGAAGTGAGATTCAATGCACATAACAAGACAGCGTGCACTATCATTCGACCTCAGAGCGTAAACTTCGACAGCTCCATCAGGGAAATGTTCGTTTACATAGACAGTAGCGCTATCTTCTAAGGCACGCCTCCAACTCTCCAGATCACAGTCTATATTATCAAAGCTACTCTTGTCAAAACTTTTAACATCACTGACTGTCTGCTTGAGATGGTCAAAATGAAATGTCAACTGCGATCTAGGACACATAAAATATCCATTCCCCAAGTCTGCGTAAGCAGTAATCAGAGTCGGATACTCGCAATTTGGTAACTTCACATGGATCATTTGGTCCTTGTTATACTGTGCTACTGATCTAGAAGAGTTGAATAGTATAAATTTGTTCTTACGCTGCTAGCTTCTCATGAATATGGTGGTCATCACCAGCGAAACAACGGATATCTGAATGAATGTGTGAGCGATTCGTACACCTTACCATCTAATACTTCATTAAATTCACAGGGCGGTGCAAGTAAAACCAATCTAGCACATATAGTAGCCTTTAAAACAAAATTGTCGATTTAACCAGGTATGAACAGCAGGATACCTTATCCTCTGGCGTAATATCCCCATCCACCATCTTAGCGATTAGCAAACCAACAAGGCGTAAAGTCACAAACTGCGCGCTCCTATTTTGAAGAGGAATACGAAGTTCAAGTAGATTCAGATTTTCAGAACTGTGTAATAAGAACAGAAAGCCTGTGGCCTATGTTATCCCTTTTCTAGTATACTTCTGTGAGTGCCTAATTTTCTCTTGAATTAGTCAATCGAAGGTGCGGACACCACCACCTTGAGTAACGGGTTCCGATAATTGATGACTCATTGTGAAAACCCGTATGCCATGCGTATTTCGTTCGTTCTTTGATTTCCTAATCGCCTTCTATGTCCTTTGAGTCGTCCTGACTGACAGGAAGAAAAAGGGAGGATATATTAGGTCTAAAGCCATTACTCAGTATTCTATACATCATTATCAGATCACCTCTTAATATGTGATACGACAGAGTAAAGAAGTCTAGCTTTTCAAGCCGCTCTTTTTATAGTAAACCCTGGAGTTCTAAAACTGCATGCTTATTTCCCCTCTGTACTTTTTCCAGGATATCCGAGTCACCTTATAAACAAGGGCTTACAGCCTGAGTGCAGTTTTCACGTTTAGTTCTCATCAAGGTTGTGTTGACACTTATGGGCATAGTAGTGCCTAACTTGACAAATGTCCGTCTCAAAGCCCATAGGGTTCTAAACCCCTTAGTTGCTACCTCACGGCAATGGGCCGGGGTCTTAAGATCATAATCCACTGTCACCCTATGATCCATTTGAGACCGGACTATGGGTACAGGTACTTCTCCTGTGCTGTACCTAATTACCTTTGTATCCCCAAAGTGCATGTAGATACACTTTGCTGCGGTGATAGGCGTCAGCCACTCTTTGAATTAGCTAATCACAATATTTAAGTCAGCCTGAAGTGCGCATGCATCTGAGTCTCCCGTTATTTTTCGCCAGATTTTCACATCAGCGTATAATAACATTGGGACTCAACTATACTTGAGAGATCATTTACACACAGTATGAAAAGTAAAAGGCCTAGGACAGAATCTCTCGGTACTCCATTGAGTACTGGTCTCCAGATGGAGCACTTGGAATTTACTCTTACTTTCTGTTTACGACCTACTAGGAACTCCTTAAGCCATTTTAGGAGAAGTTCGGCAATCCCTAGATTTTCCAGCTTCAAGTACAGTCTATTTGTTGACACTTCGTCAAATGATTTGCTGAAGTCTATGTAGACAACATCCACTGATTTTCCGTTGTCTAGAACCTTTACCCACTGCTCCCGTGCTATCAGGAGGTTTGTTGTAAAAGATAAACCTTTTTTGAAACCATGTTTTTTGCTGTTTAACAAGTTGATGGTTTCCACGAATGTCATTATGGTCCTTTTGGCTATTCTTTCCAGTATTTTAACCACGACGCCGGTGAGGCTGACAGGTTTGTAGTTCGATGGAAGTTTTTTTGATCCTGTTCTATGTATTGGAGTGACGATTGCATCCTTCCAGTTCGTAGGTAACACACCTTGGTCAAGTGATGTATTGAATATCGCAGTCAGTGGGGCTGCAATTTATTGTGCAATATGTCTCAAGATTTTTGGGTGCATTTCATCTGGCCCTGTTGACTTTTCCATGTCTAAGGTGATAAGACCCTTAAGTACATCGTCTTGATCGAAGTCCACGGTGAGCAGGTGGCTTGTTGACTCTGTATTTTGGTCTGGTTCTTTCTCTAGAGGAGGTTCCTGAGTGACAAATGCCAAAAATAGTCAGTCATAGCCTCTGCTTCTTCCTGATCTTCCCCTATCATTTCAGATTCACTCCCTTCTTTAATTAGGTTTGGAATCCAATGATGCATCCTTGTTATATAGTTTATGTACCAGAATATTCTCTTGGGCTGCTTGAATGCAGATTGTGCCAAGTGCATTTCATATTTTCTTTGAGCTTCCCGGATTTTAATTATACACTTTTTTCTTACTGACCTGTAGCGTTTCGAAGTACTTGTTGTGCCAAGAATGATGACAACGTTCCAGCATTTCTTCTTTTATCTTGGTAAATGTCAAATATCCCGGCCTATCCAGGGATGGCCATGCTTCTTCTTCTCTGCGATCGTCCAGGGTATATATGGTTGAGTTACCTGATTGTATAACTGCTTGAAATGAGTCTGTGTCTCTTCTTGTGATGCCTCTGAGTCAATTATCCTGTTTTCAGCCGATGCTGCAAAGTTTATCACCTTCATGTCTGCCTTCCACATGCTAGGACGGGCTGGTGCAATTGTTTGACAAGCGATATTAAATATGAGCTTGAACAAGATGACTGCATTACCACTTCTCCCTAAAGGTGGGAGGAAAGTTATGTGACTGACATCATCACCATGTGTGAAGATTAGGTTTGACAGAAGTGAGGAGCTTCGTAATTCTTACCTGGTAGGATTTCTAATGTGCTGAAACGAAGCTAGTGCAATCGAGATTTCTAACAGTTTACAATCAAACGAAGTTGTCGATGACCCTACTTCTATGTTTACTCAATTTATATACGGTACATAAAAGTTGCCTGCCATAAGGCCTTCACAGCTATTACACCAAGACTTAAGTTTGCTTAGGAGGACGTCATCTACTACACATTCTGGACTACGATATACTACAATCAATTTAATATCTTGCCGTCTACATTTCAGCCTGAAGCGTACCAGTTCACGTGTCCTTGGGTTATGTGCCACTGTCCCGACAGTTCGTATGGTTAAGGCTCTTTTCCTGTCTAGGATAACCCTACAAACCCTATGTTTTGGTCTATAAACCCTACTAGGTCAGAAACCAAGCAATCTAGCTCCACATTTCACTACATCGTGCAACACACCTCTGACAACTAACCATAATAGGAATTATAAGCCACAAAAGTTTAGTCTGTTATCCAAATTTATCTCGTCCCGTCGTCTTGAACTCTTGCTTTCAGTGGTTTCAAGACCATTTCGTTACAAGTGAATCGGACAACATTACTACCTGACTTGGAAGAATTATAGTCTAGGTCGATATTAAGCCCGTTTATCTTTGCCACCAAAACAATAGACCTAATCCCAAAATTACAAGTTTGCCAAGATGTGACTACCTCATGTATAAGATCATACACAGACGCCACGTCGTTGTCTATGCTGATCCGTTCTATTGTGACAGTCAGAAGTAGGATATTTGGGACTTCTGAATAACACACTTGGGTTGGCAATGGAATAATGTATTTAATATGCACAGGAATAGGTTACATAAAGTAACCATGTCTGTATGGCCAAGCCGTGTCATACCGATTCGCTGTTCTTTCGTTTATCAATTCTGACCTTCTCAACAGTGTTAAATGTCAAATTTAAAGCTCAGCTATTATATGTTTGGCCTATAAGATCGTGTGGTTGCGAACCAATACCAAATGCAAAACCAAGTGGGGTTATCGAACTCTGATGGTTATCAAAAGAAGTGAACGACCCTATGTTGTTACTAAGCAAGGGTTAAAGTAATTTCTGTCCAAATTTGAAGGTCAAAAATGCATTCCCCGAAGATTACCTTATCACTCTGATTTTCCTCCCATTAATACTGTCTTTAGTAAAATGGGTTACGCGGAGAAATTTTTTCGAGACCCAATAACACTGTTAACTAGTACACGAAATGTAGAATACAAAGCAATTTCCGACACAACAAATGCTTCATTGAATATAAAAATGTAGTCATTTTGTTCAACGATAAACTATCAATGAGATATTTCAGTATTCACAGGGCTAATATGGTCCAGCCTTGAAAATACTATTTTCCATTTGTCCGTCAATTTACAAAATTACACCACTTTGTGAGAGTGAGCAGGTTTCCACTGATTTTTGTTGGATTCTTTAATTTCTAGTCGATAAGCAACATTTGTCGTTCTCCTTTCTTTTCAAAAATCACATGAATAATATTGTATTCAATAAAACAAAATCGCTGGGAAACGAGGTTTAGATGCTGGCGATGAGACTCCCTGCCTGGACTTGGGATTAAACAGTCATTGAGTTAAGGGTGCGAGAAGCTTATACCTTGAAACATTTCGCCAATGAATCTTTTTGAAGTTTAAAGAACACTTCTTAAGTCGACAAGTTTATTCGAAAATCCACAGCATCCAAAAGCGATGATGATAGCTGTTTTAAGAAACCTTTCAAGGTCTTTCAAGGTAGCTGTCGGATCGTGGGTGCGCGGCAACGGCAAAACATCAGGAGTGATTTCCTTATTAAGTAGCCGGTAATATGTAGTTAGATCCCAGCCGCTGCCGTACGTTTTAGGGACAATATCCAGAGTATATGCTCATAGGCTATCATATGTTTCGGGAACTAATCGGTGGCTTTAAAAAATACGGGTCGTCCTATAGTCCCGATATAGTGTGATGCCTTCACACAGTAGTTGATGTCAAGTTTTCTAAGGTTGAGGGTACTTGTCAGGTGTTGGTTCGAAGTATGGATCGATCATATGTTTACTTGTGGCCGGGTACAACTTGCAACCAGGAAATGACAATCCTCAAACATATAATTTCGTGTTTCCGTCCACTAACCCCAGTTTGCCCTGGTCGATGAGTACGTTATGATGTCATACCAGGTCTATACCATTGATTGGCATAGAGATGTCAGCAACCACGAATACCAGTGAAAGGATCTGCGTAAACCCATGTTAGGGTAAACATATCTTTGACCGTGTGTGGCGATTGGTCTTCCATTTATCGTTTGTAAGCTGAAGACCAGATATTGCAGGTGGTCACTAGATTTGTGGGAAGAACGCTTACTTCTGCTCCAATGTCGAAGAGATGGAGAAAGTTCGACGTCATATTAGTGATGTACAGTGTACGTCTCTTTCCATCGACTAAAGTTTCAATTAGTTCACGTCTATCGGGAAGCTTCTTATGAGGTTTGTCGTGATGAAAGCTATGCAGTTAGGGAAATTCAGGGTTTCTTTTAGTTTTCAGAATACTTACCACAGGTGTTGTAGTATTAACACGAATAAGAGTTATCTGTTTGTCACGGTCTAGGAGCGAATATTTTTTGCGACGGGCTAGTTTGGGGAGTTCTGGACAGTCTGTGAGT